CAGAAAAAATCAAAATAATAGTGAAGGCTGCAGAAAAATATCTGGATGTTAAAGATATGAACTGGGAGATGGTTGGAAGCATGATGGAAAGACCAATGGGACCATCAGAAACTGGCAGAGGTACGATGACCTAGAGTAAATTAAAATTATACGGGCAAATGTAATTTAGTATAATTTAGTATTATGTGGGTTTAAGTTACACAGGTTATTTTATTGTATTTTTTTTTTTTTTTTTTTTTTTTTTTTTTTTTTTTTTTTTTGGGGGGGGTGAATCGTTTCCTGTTTCCTTGCTTTACTCCATATCAGTTGGTGGCGGTAATGCACATTTCACAAGTTTGCCAACCGCCATAAAATCTCATAAGAAGAAGAAGAAGACGCTCCGCTGCACCTCTCCCAGATAGTAGCTGACCGCAAACAGTGCACCAGACAGGAGGCCGGCTTGTTTTGTTTTTATGACCGAAATTGCGGAAAACAACTCGTGAAGTTTGACCCGCTAGAAGAGCGAGGTGCGCGAGAACGCTGGGAGCCTTTTTCCAGCTGAATCTCCGCTCTTTTTGCCCCATTGTCCCTCCGTCGTCGGACTAAACTCGCCCCCACTTCCTCATCGCCTCGGCCGTATCTAGACCCACAGCGTGTAGCCCAGACCACGCTTCAATACTGAGCATAATTTAAAAATGTCTGTGTGAAGCTTGCTGCAACAAACTGCTGTAAGAGTATAACCAGGAAGCGCGGTAGGAGGGGAAAATAGGTTTAGCGCCACCGCAGCACGGGAGGAAGAATTACGCCCAGGAGCAAATGGATAAAAATAGACCGGAGGGAAAAAAAAAAACATTAATCGATTATCTTGCGGACGTGTCGATGCATCGGATCGTCGGCTTTTGGATCGATGCATCGATACAAAACGATTATTATTTACACCCCTAATATATATGTGTATGTATGTATATATATATATATACATACACATATATATATATATGTGTATGTATGTATATATATATGTATATATATATATGTGTATGTATATATATATATATATATATGTATGTGTGTATATTCAAATATTAATACTTTGATTGATATAAGCAAAGCCAAAACAAGACAGGTCAAAAAATGACATTTTCAAGTTTCTGAGGAGGGATGGGCCGTCATTTCAAATATCTGATGGGGTATTATCATTTTAAGGCACTTTACAGAGACATTTCAACCAGATTGTTCAGTAAGATTGGTTCAAAGTTTTCTATCTAAGGAAAATTTGCTGATTGCATCGACTCCTTGACTTTTCAGCAATTCGTGACACCAAACATGCTTGTAGCAACAGTGGAAATGAAACTTCAATTTAAACAGGAGAAAAAATCTCCAGCAGAACCAGGCTCAGATTGAGGGACCATCTGCCCATTCTGTCTGAGGTTCAAAGAGAGAGAAAAAGCATGTAAAAAGAAGCAGAGAAACAAAAGGCAACTGTTAACCAGCTCCACAGGTGGCTCTGTCCCCGAAACACACAGCCAGGCAAACAAGCTCAGAGCCAGCTCCCACGTCAGAGGAAGAAAGAGAGCACACCCAGTTAGTCACAGTCAGAGAAACTGGACAACACTGGAAAAACAGGCCAATCTCCAACATCTATAAACAAAGGTGTTGATGGCAGCAGCACAGCTGATATTTCTCTCCAGAATGATGTCACAGCCAAACAAGAACAAATCAGATAAAGCTACTATGAGAAAAACCAGAGGGAGCATAACGTTAGAGATTATCTTAAGTATATGTAGTTACTGCTTTGAGTGCAGTCATACTATAGCACTATGTTGTGTTCTTTTCTTGTGTATTGTTCTTTCCCTTGATTCTAACATTATAACTGTTTCTTTTGGCAAAAAGTGTTTCAGGCACGAGAGAATTTATCAATTTTTTCCTGGGTTTTCTTCCATTGATATCTCAGTGTATTCCATAGAACCTTCTTGCAGCAATATTTTTCTGTGTGGCCAAAAACAACTACACATTCCATCTGAATATCCCTGGAGTGAAGGCATTTTTCCTTCAAGAACATTGTTGTTTCTAAGATTACAATTAGAGATTTCCAGATAGTGCCAACGATCAGATCCCAAATTATCATTACCAATATCTGGTAGTGCCTCACTTTTAGAATGGGTTGGTGGAAAAGGATTGCTGCTATTTTTCTTTAATTTTGTGAAATGTTTTTAATTTTCTCCCAGAAAAAAAAAATGTTTAAAAAGGAATCTACTTCAGAAACACAAAGAAAGGCCAATTGTTGTTTTTTTATTCTTCAGGTTTTTTTTTTTTTCTTTTTTTTTTTTATAAATAATGGTATTTGCCCCCCTCATTAGCAGATTAACTACCCTATAAAAACTCACACGTTTTGTTAGAATTTCAACTGCAGTTGTGTATAATTGCACTATATATAGAATCTAGAAGTATGTTTTCAATGGTAAAATCAATATAAATCAGTTAAACCTTTACTAATGACTTAAAATTCTCCTTTCTCCAGCCCCTGCTCCTCACCTAGGCTACCCCATGCTGACACACACAGCAGGATTGAACATTACGCCAGCAGGTAGGAGCCTTACACAGCTGCGCAGCTTGCACATTTCTCATTCGCTTTAACTTCCCATCTTCAGCTAATCCCCTTTCTTCCTAATAAACCCTCTATACTATTTCCAACTTTCCTTCTCCCCCATCCTCTCTGCTCACTAATCTTTTAGTCTTTGCTGATAACTGTATTGATTTTGCTGTGTTGCACGCTGTACTCCAGCCAGCACAGAGGCTACACAGCCCAGCACTTGGTTTCCTTCTTTCCCCTCCCAACATTTGAAAACGGGTGGAGCAGTACTTGCTTCCCTGTGTTTTTCTATGAAGGGTAGCGAGGTTCAGCCTGCCCAGCGGCCTGTCAATTGCAGGGGCAGTGAGCTCATTGGTCACCTGGGAGCTGGCAGTGTAGATTAGAGTCTCTGTGACAGGTTATAAACAGGCGACAGTGCCGGACGCCCACACTCCTGGCAGAGCTGCACTGTGAGCATAGTTGGACTTTTGCATCCTTTTCCAATGAGCCTGCAGTGCATGAATGGGAAGACAATGTTTATGTGCTTGTTTGTGTGCTTTTGTGTATTACTTCCCTAAGGATCTACTCATTTTACACCCTGCCAAGACAAGAGCAACACACAGCAAAAGAGTAGGCTTTAATTACATCTTTACCCCTTTGCATTCACCCCCTTTTACTCTACCAACTCTTCTTTGTTTGCCTTCTTTTTTATCCCTTTCATCTTTGCCTCCCGCAAATCTATTTTGCCTCCTGTTCTCTTTTTTCCTACCCTTTTCTCTCTATTTTTTATGTATTTTGTATTACTTCCTCTTACAACTCATTGGTTGTGTTGTCGTGTGTAATAAAACGTTTTCAAACAGTCTCTGGGTTGTGTTGGTCACTCAAACAAAATCTCAATTCATACAAATTAAATTAAAATAAAATGAACTTTTTTTGTGATCACCAGAGTGTAAATTAAAAAAAAGTTTGAATAAAAAGAAAATGGGACTGGCGACCTGTCCAGGGTGTACCCCGCCTCTCGCCCAATGACTGCTGGATATAGGCACCAGGATGGATGGATGGATGGATGGATGGATGGATGGAAAGAAATGATAATGGAAGTCTCTTTTAAGACTTTTCTAACTTATTCTATGTATAGCTTCATACTGCCGCTATGAATGGGATGAAAATGTAAGGAAGCCTTCTGGAGGCTGTAAAAGATTTGAAACCATAGCCCCTCTCAAAGGTGGTTTAGCTGCTGGTTTACCGTCTTCATATGTTAGGTAAAATAAGAAACAGAAGTCAGCTAACCCAACCACCTGGTTTGGGAAGCAAACATCCTCAAACTAGAAAAAAAGCATAATTTTCCTTTCTTAATGTATACTGTTTTACTCTATATGTTAAAATCCTAGTAAATAAATTGAAATCTGCTGCAATATAACAAATTGGAAAAAGTTGGATCTGATTACATTCGCAAGGCACTGTTTAGTTTATAGCTTTGTTTAAATAATTTTTTGCAGTATGTGGAGCAAGATCCTTTAACATCCAGTCTTCCTTATGTGTTTTAAGCTAAACTGACACCAGGACTCCCAGTAATACTTTGTCTGATGTGCAAGTGTGAGAATAGAAGCTATTGGTTTTTGGCTCTTGTGAATCATTTTATTACTTGGTTTAAAGGCCATTGATCTGTTCTATTCAATGATTAGAGCGACAGCTACACTTTTATACACACAGAAAAAAATGACTGAGGACTGAGCTCACATATTCATTAAGATGATTTAAGTGGAGTCATTATAGGAATAGATAGTCTTTGAAATAGTCTCGTACTTTTAATCTGACAGAATGCATTATTTCCTCCTACTTTCTTGGTTCCTTTCTTTTAATGAGCACATTGGAGTTCTTATTTGAAGTCTAAGCCTTTCTTTAGTCGCTGTTCACTTTGAACACTAACAGTGTTAGACTTACATCATTGGCAGGTCAAGATGTTCAAAAATCATCCTTTGGTTTGATGAGTTTGAAGAGTGCATGTTTGCTTTGTTTGTTTGCATGTCAACTCTTTCGTTTTGTGAATGAAAAGTGATTTATCTTTCACATGTAATGAATCTATTTTTTCATTATGTTTACATTTTAATCATTCAATATTGTAAGTCATAAGAAAGGGACATATTTGTAAGGTTATCTTTTAAAAGGCTTGTAGTTATTGACAGAGTTATAGCAACTGGAGGAATATCTACATTATGCTAATTCCATAATAGAAGTAATATTTTAAGGACCACACTGAGCTCATCCCCACCAAGAAGAAGGTATTACATTGCAGAAATATGCATGGATAAATTTGTGTTAGAAATGAGTACATATTAAGTTATGTTGTGGTACTATACTTATAGTGCATTCTTTCTCATCACATGCAGTTAGCTGGATTTTTTTACTATGACAAACTTGCCTAGAAACATCTAGTCATTTTATTTTCCTCCCCTGTTTTTTTTTTCAAACTTGCAAAAAATAATGTGTTAGCATTGGATGACCTTGAGGATGCTCTGTCAACAGAGTGACTATGCAAATAATTAATACAACTAAATTTCCACTTTTTCTAAGTTTAACAAAATCTCACTAAGAGGGTCTGAGAACTGCAAAGAGGGCCACTTCATTTACTTTTCCTGGATTTTATTTAATTTTCTTTATTACTTCTTTTTATTTCCACAGCAAAACTAACAACTCCTACAATGTGCTAACAATCCTATAGCACTACTGGTCTTTATCAAAGTTAGGTGCATGAAAGGAGAGATGATATAAAATATTTACATTTTTTACTTTCTTCATGAAGTTGACAGATGTCACAGTAACTTAATTATTTCTTGGTTTATGTATCAACTTCAAAGAGATCCCCTTTAAACGGTCATATCACATATTAGAAGATGTAAAATTCTTTTTAACTTTTTGGAATTTTACTTGTAATGTATCTTCACATCTCATCTATCGCACAGTACATGTTTCTACCTCCATCATAGCAACATTTACTTACCTTCCATTTACTTACCCACCTTCAGAAGATGAGAGCAAAGATTTGAAAACCAGACCTCCATACAGTGTGTATGTGCTATGTAGTTCTGTTTTCTTTCTTTACACATCAAATAAAGTATCTTGCAGGTTAGACAATATTAAGTTGAAATTAGAGAGCGCTGAATTATTTTTTTTTCCTTTATGTTTTCCTGCAACAGCTCAGCTATCAACTGTGCTAAATGCCTTTAAACATTTTTTTAGTATGCATGTAATTTGCCAAACTTACTCTCCTTTAGCCAGACTTTTTAAAGCATGGAAACTGGAAGTGCAGAAGTCTAGCTGCCTCTAAGACGTTCTAGATTAAATATGACCAAAGCTCACTCCCATAGTTTTATAAATACTTTATTCATCTCAAACACCATATTTGTATTTGAAGTTCAGGGTTACAGATGTCATATTTGTAAACTTCAAACACAGAGACAGCCTCTTCTCTCTTTTCTGCTTTTAACATCTGTATCTCTTAGCCTTCTCTTTTCCTATTCATTGATGCTGAATTTCATTCCTTTCATCATCACAGCTGCTCTGACATCTCACAGAGGATAGATGAGGAGATAATAAAGAAGCCCCTGGAAGTTCAGGCAGGATCTCTCCTTTCTAGCCCTCATTTGCTCTCATTTCTCATTTTCTTTCACATCCACTAACATATATAAAAACTAAACACCAGCTTGTGCAAACCAGAGCCCACACACACTGCTGTGTCTTATTACGTTCTGCCCTTTCCTTTCTCATTTACTCCTGTCCCTGACTCTCGTCTTGAGGTTTTAGGATCCCTCCTGATGAATAGGGTTGTGGATTGAATTACGAGCAGTAAGGTTGACGGTGCCAGGACTCATGTACCTGGACACGGATAAATCCAACATTTTTCAGTGCTACGGTCGCATTGGAAAATGAAAAGAAATAGGTTGTAGCTTGGACACTTCAGACAGCTTCTAAATCACTACCGGGTCCTGCTTTCACTACTCACTGCTTACGCTGACAACCCTGCAGCAGAGAAGCAGCATAGTGTCTCTCTCTGTAGGAGCAATGCTGCTGCAAACATTTAAGTCTTCTAGTATGCAGTCTGTCTATGCTGGGCATGTATTTCATCAATGAGTGGCTTCACCCTGGTGATAAATCATAATGTTTAAAAGAAAGAGGCACATTTTAATCCACTACTTCCTTCATATGTGTTTAACAAGATCCTCTCAGCTCATATATTATGAATAAAAGTGTCAACACTAATCAAACCATTCTCAGCTCAAAGGAGGGGTAAAAACTTCCTCCTCATCTAACTAAGCTTTGGTTAAGACTGCTACTTGAAGCTTTAGGTTCAAATTTCTGTTACTTTTGGATGTCCCAAGGTTCCTAGGACTTTTTGTATGACCCGTGTTACAGAGGTTTTACCGTTGTTGCTCAAAACCTCTCATTCTGTAAGAATGGCTATTGCCTTTAAAGGGATGGTGGAGGATTTTTGAAAAGACCCACCCTCCAGTAAAAAAAAAAATAATGCACATGCACAACCCTGTACCCGCTCATGAGAGGGAACTCCTATTAAACGCATGCACCAGCCCATTTCTATTGTGCACGCTCTGTTTAAAAGTTGCTGTTTGCATCGCTCATACAAGCTTACTTTCCACCAGTAAGTGAATATGGGGACGAGCACATAACATAACCAAACTGATCAGTTGGACAACAATCACCATGTCTGCAGCAGTGATTCCCCCGGCAAAGCCTTGTTATTACCCTATGGTCCTGAGACCTACAGTATAATCCTCTATATTGCTCCTCTCTCTTCCTCTTACATTCTTTCCCCTATAGGGCTTCAAGATATGAAAGGAACATCAATGTACAATAATTCTGGTGAATGTTGTAATGACACTAATAATTGTCATGAACATGTAGGTCTACTGTACACTTTTCAATTTTTTTTACTTTTTATTTGGGTTTATTGCTGAAATTAAGTGAACTTTCTGGGAACAAAAAAAAATAGTTTCTGTTAAATTCTTGCATCACTTGGCATCTAGCTTCAGGAAATTGACTGGCAATGACAGAGCTCTTAAAGATATTACCAGGACACTGCTCTTTTAAAAAAAATGTTTGCTACTTAAAAAAATTAATGCATCATCCGTATCATCATCATCCTGCATGAATATTTTCTTTACTGCCTTTTAACTTTTTTACTTCCTTGGTCTTTGACATACAGTAGCTGAGGGAACCTAAGGATTGTATCCTCACAATGCAGTGCATAGAATACTTTATCTGATAATCAATATTTCTATGTGGTACTGGTCAATGCATGCAAATGAACATACTGCAACTTCTTCCATGTTTGTAAAGTTGTAGCTGAAAATATTACAAGTTGTTTGTGGAAACAACTCCTTAGTCAAACCTTGAAAATCTTAGTTGTCTCGAATTTGTCATCAGTACTAAAGTTTTACCCTAGTGAATGCCCATTCCACCCCGTCACAAATACAAATAATAAATTCTATTTTTCTAGTGTTTTAAATTTTCATTCATACACAGCTACTACTTATGAAACAATAATTAATGATGGCACCAAGCTTGAAGATTGAGCATGCGTATGTGATTTATGGATAGTTATCTCGCTTTTTAAATTATAAATTATATCATTGTTTTCAAATATTTGGATAATAATGTAATGACTTTGGCACTTTAATTCTCATTGACTTTTTTATTCCCCTGTTATTGATTTATTTACAATGGCTGTTTGTCTAGAAAATATTTTTCTGACTGTTTGTTCCTTGAAATGAACTAAAAACAAAGCCTGATAAAATGTCAGTTTATTGGTGTATTCATTTGTTTAGTTATTCATTTATTGACTTTCTGACTAACTCACAGACTTCTGTGTGTTTCTGTGTACAGATTGGCAGAAATGGAGAATCAAAATTGTTCGTTTTTCACAGATAGCCTGTCTCCAGATGAGAGCCTGTGAGTATGTGGCCACAGAACAAACACCCTGATTGTGTGTGTGTTGGGGGGGTTGTGCGTTTACCTTTTTTGCCTTTGACACATCAACCGTTTATGTGTTTGTGTCTGTGCTCTAGTATGAACATGCATGTTGCTGTGTTACTGGACGTATGGATAATCATTTAAATAATCAGCCACATAATCAAAATGACCCATATGGAGCTTCCCTCATATTTTCCTTCATCATTTAAAACGCCTGCTATGATGAGGGTCTCTGGGCTTTTATAGATAGTAGAACAAGCTTGTTTATGTCTGGAGGGTTTGCCTGAGATAGTGTAGGGAAGTAGTGTTATTTTGATGTGAATGAGGCAGTATCTACTAATTGTAAAAAATAAAATAAAAACAGATTAAAGAAAGGTATAGAGTTGTTGGATGTCATTCTTCTAGGCCTGATTCTTACTTTATTTGTCATCGGCGTGAGCTGCCAAATTCTTGCTCCTCAAAGATTGTTTTACTCCATTGTATATTAAAGTCAATGCTTTGTGCCCAGAAATACTGAGAACATTTTTGTGCGGTCTTTGGGGCTCCAGGTGCATTTTTTTAACGTGTGCATTGTAAAAAGTGCTCATTATTTCTCTTCAGATAAATGTTATGTTTGTCTACCTCTGACAGCAGGCTGTGATTGACACCACATAAAGAGCTACTTTTTTGTTTGAAACAAAACTTGGCAGTAAAAAGTTTAACTTCTGACGTCGGTGCATCTTAGAGCTGCTTTTATTTATATACACATGCATCTTTAGAGCATTTGCATCCTACATTTGCATGTATGTCTCTCTGTAATTCAGTTCTTCAGTGTTTTGTATGCATGGTAAGCCGGTCAGTACCAGCAGCAGCATTGCTCTTGCGGCCTTGTATTCGAGGTTGCTTCTGCAAACCTGTCACTCTGTCTGTCATTGCAGCTTTTTTGCTGCATGGCTACGTACAAGCTGCTGTGCTATCTGCGTCTCCAGCTGGTGTTTTGGCTGCTATCATGCTGTTTTCTGTCCTGACTCCTGCCGTCTGTGTCCACAGCCCCTACCCCCATCCCCCACCTCTCCACATTGCTATGCACTCACTGTACTTACTGACAGGTAACAGAGGTATGACATACACTGTCTTGGAAAAACGTCTTTATACACCTTGGACTAAAACAACAAACTGCAACGTTCTTTTCTCAGAACTTTTTGAAATTCTAAAAGGTTTGCCAAAGGAAGCTTCAAGCAGACAGGTCAACAGAAAGTAGTTGAGAAGTTTAAATCAGGGATCATTGAACAACATTCGAAGCTGTTAGCATGGAGAATTGTTTTAGTATCTCTGATCTAAAAACACAAATATTTCAGTATTACTTCAAAAGTACGAAAACATACAAATGTATGGCTGTGTACCTATTTCCACAAACAGGCTCCTCAGTAGGGATGCACCGATCCACTTTTTTAACCTCCGATACCATACCAATATTTGAAGTTTGGTTTCGGCCGATACCGATCAGATACCAAAAACAGCACAGAATTATTACCTAAAAAATGGTTTTAATGTGTAAAAAAAGCTGGGATCATTCTTCTGTGCATATGATTTGACTTCCCTTTTCTTTAAAAAAAAAAAATAGGAAACAACCCAAATATAAATGTTATGACTCCTGTATTTAACAACTGTGCACAAAATCTTAAACCAAAAGTTCTCTGACTTGGTCAACATGTAAAAAAAGTGGCATTATCATTATCAAGTATCATCTCTGCGATTTTTTTCGCCAGTATACTGTTACATGGAAAAACTTCACTTCGTTCCTTTGCTTCCATCAAAGTTAGCTGCTTCCCACTGCTTTCTTTTTGTTTGCGAGTCTGATAATCTCAGCATGTTCCTTGTTATGAAATTTCTGGAGGTGTTTCATTAAGTTGGTGGTTTTATAATTTAAATATTTAACACCGCCTTTCGGAACATTTCTCCAACAAATATTGCACATAGCCATTGGGCTTGTAGGCTGAGAGAGCGTGAAAAACCTCCACACCGCAGATACTTTCACCCGCTCCATCATAAACAATATGGCCGTGTTGTGTTGTTGCGCTGCCGTATGACGGCAGAGCATAGCATAGAATTAGAATGAATAGCTCGGCCCCTATATCGAGTCAGTTGTCACTGATACCAATCTATTTCTTTATATCTGGACCGATACTGATAAAAATATCGGATCGGTGCATCCCTACTCCTCAGTAAGACGTTTAGTCAGGGTAACAACTGAGAAGTCCATGGCAACACTCAAGCTAAGATTCACAACTCAATTAAGAAACGCAGTAGAGAGCACAAGTAGAAGTGCATAGTAAAAATCTGCCGTTTTTTTCTATATGTGACAACAGAATAACACATAAAAATAAACCAGACATGGAGGGGATTTAAGAAACCCGACCAAAGATGCTTGGTCTGAGACTCAGAGTTTTTGAGCCTACATTTAAAAGGCCTGATTACTGTCAGACCTGAGGGTGAAAAATCCACAGCATGATGCTGTGGATATATATTTTTTATTTAGCAAGGACAGAGAAGGTGGTCAGAGTTACTTTATGTGGCGGCAACTGTAGGATCTTTACACTCACATGGGAATTTAAGCCAATATAAAATAAGCTTAGACAAACACAGAATAGTTGTACTTGAGTTTTACAATACTACCTTGGGTATTCATTGAGGCATTTCGTCTGATCACTAAACCTTAAGAAATAGACAGCAAGCAAAATGTTTTTCTTTCTACAAACAAGTTAGTGACATAATTTCAAAGTACCATTGGAAAAATCTGCATAAATCCCATGCTTTCCACAAACAGGAAGCTCATAGTAATATTGGCTATGAATGAAGAGATTGCATTTTGCAGTTACAAAATTAGTAGAGTAAATATAGAATATAAAGAGGAAAATACAGAACATGCTTTTTTATCACGTTTATAATCAGGCTGTGTATGAATATTTGCAGCCATTGCCAGCACATTGCCTTGAATGCAGTTTAATACCATATGTGTTCATAATTAGAGAAGCATGCTTATTCCAAACTAAACATGAGCAAACAATGTCATGACAAAACGATATAAGATTGTTACCTCTCTACAGAGAAAAAACCAGTAGCTTTGGTTCACAATTGTTCCTTTCAGCTGCTCATGAGGATGGAACCAGGCCTATGTCTACTTTTTTCCAAGACTCCTTTTCAGTTTTGGGAATAGAACAAACTGTCTTCCCACCCCTACAAACTTTGGGTAAATTCGCTCTGAATTGCATATTCTCCATGAACAACATTTAGCAAGTTATTAGGTGTCTTTTTTTTAAGTTCCCATCTCAACTATTTCTTAAGTCAAAACCTGACAATGTTTTGACTTACTGTAAGAAAGGTGAGGGGGTGTTTCACTTCATGACTTATTGCTATTGCAGATTGATCAGCTGCTAACAAGCATCCTGTAATGATTGACAGGTGGCTACATGCCAGTTGGAGGAGATTAATATAGGCCCCAAAATACTGGAGAAAAATCTTAGAGGCGGCAAAAGGCTGATCATTCAGTTCCTCTTCCAATGCACAACAGTAACCATTTAACCAGAGCTGCAATGAAATTGATTAGCTAAAAGCTGTCGTCTTTGTGTTGGAAAAGCACAGTCTAAGCCCAGACCTAAATCCAGGTGAGAATTGGTGACAATACAAAAAACAAAACAAATCACAGATGCTCTCTATCAAATCTATCAAAAATAGCATCATATCCCCGAAGACTCAGGGAAGCCATTCCAGTGAGCCATAGTTAAAGAAAGTTTTGACACTGTAATCCACATGTATGCAACATTTTTCAGGTTTTTATATATATATATAAAAAAAAATCTGAATCCCTTGAAAGTTTTTATCTACTTCAAAACTTAGCACTACTTTTTATGGGTTTGCCATTTAAATCCCTGATTAAATACATCAAAATTTTCATTTTAAAATGGGTTGTGAAAACTTTTGGAAACCAGAGGATTTGAAGTATAAAGTCATTAGCATTGTTGTTTAATTAGCGCTGTGTTCATTACTTAGTTGTGTTAAAAGTATTTTCGGCTGCAATAATAAACTAAGATAAAAGGCGTCTTTATTCAGGTTAGAATATCAGTGCAACCATAACAACAATAGAGGTTGTACACTGAATTACTTTTACTATAATGCTTGCATCTGAATTACAGGTGCTTTTTAACATTCTTTGATGAATTACTCTGTAATTACAAAATTATATCCTGACATCAATGTATCCCCACATCCTGAAAAAGCAAGATGAGGCTACAGTGGGAGCAGCTTAAGCAGAGATCTACAGAAACTCTTCCTTTCTGCCTCCAGCTTATCTTTCTGTGACTCTGAGGTGTTGAAATGTGAGATTTAATCTCTCCAACAAGTCCATGATTAGCTCCAAGACCTCTAGTTAGTAGGTCATATCTGAGACAACCCTTCCAGGTGTCCATGAGATATCCTTTCCAAGAGCTCAAACCAACAAACCTGCAACGGTAAAGGTAGAGAAGGCCACTTGTGCTTTTTAGTTTATCCTAAGTAGCTGTGATGTTTATTCTTCCCCTAAGGTTAAGTCACAATGAGTCACAGTGTAGAAGAAGGAGCTAATTTTATTGCCTTTTATTACAATCTAATTACATAGGCGATGACAAGGTTATAGTCAGTTAATAAACCAATGATTTCAGTAATGTTTCAGCTAAGATCTTGTGTTGCCCTGACCTACTGAATCAGTTGGTCATGGTAGCAGAAACTTCTTATAATCCATCTTTTACTCCTGAAAGCATGTCTACACTAATCTGGAGTCCAGTGGCAGAGCACTTTTAATCACCGTTTCCACCACTCTGCTTTGCCCTCAATGTAAGGTTAGGATGCAACTGCTCTGCCATGGAAATTTATTCCACGAAGCTTTCTTTAAACTCCAGTAGATTAATTCTTAAGGCCACACAAAGTTTGAAGGTTTGTAGTGACTGACCGTTATGTCAGGTTGTTTTATGCATCTTCTGTCATGAATCCTAATTTGACAAGGTGTTGATCCCAAGTATTTCCGTTTCCAGTGTCACTGCAAAATGTGAAATATGAGGAAATTTAATGATTGGATTTCTTTCACACATTTGTTGATGTAGTCTCTGTTTTTAGATGCAGGATTTCATACACCTGGGACACTGAAAGGATTTTAACACCTTAAATGAAGGAGTTAAGGATTTAGTTGACGTGTTCAATATATTTTGTAGTAGAGTGCAGCTAGCAAAATAACCTTGGTTTACCTTACAGTGTAAAAAAGGTATTTTTTCTTTGTTAAGATTTATTAACTTTGATAAAGTCTTTCCAGGTTGCAGAGGCATCATCTCCAAAACTGCAAAATAACTGTCTTTCCATTATTTTCATTACAATAACTGCCAGACAGGTACACATCTATTTATTATTATTATTCAACAGCCACTACTGTAATATACCTGCACATTACATTTCCTATTTAAGTGGCAGTGATGGTTTTATTATTTTCTGGAACTGTGTTGTGTTGCAGTTAAAGATGAGAATTGCTGTTTTGCTTAATGTGAGGGGTTTAATGGTGCCGTGTGCCAGGTTTATTGTGGACTGGCAATGTCACAACATCCCATCCTGCTGTGTCCCATTCTCTTTCATTATGTCCCGTCTTGTGATCTCCATCCTCGCCGTCCCGCTTTGCTTTGCTTTGGCTTGTGTGCTTGTGCTGCCATGCCGTTGGCTCTGCTTTGTGCTGCTGGTGGCTGTGTGCTGGTGGCTCAGTGTGCTGTCTCCTGTGTGGGGGACTCAGGGATGAAGATCAGTACCTCCTGCGTCACTCCAGCCCAGCCTTGGACCATGATTCACCCTGCGGGCAGCATATGCTGTTGGCTCACCTGGAGCATCAGGACAAGGAGCAGCTCCAATGCACCCTGGCCCGTCTGGAAAACGAGAACAGGTCTGTAACTATGAAATGATCTAAATCTTTTTGTTCGAGTTTATAAACAATCATAAATTAATAATGCAACAACATAGATGAATAAAAATATATCAATTATAAACCTCAACAGTCTAAGGATTGACAGCCATGGTCTCCATAGTTTGCTAATATGATTTGATCTTCTTTTTATAGCAGGTAGACATGGGTTAGTGAGACATCCAGACAAGTTCAATAAAACATTTGTGAGGGTGTTCATAGTTTGCACTATTCTCAATATTTCTGCTGTTTGAAATAATCTCCTGCTGAGAGTATACAGACTCTAAATCTACAGTCTTTTGAACAGCCTGCAGAAAAGTAAAGGAAAATCAGTCTCTGAACACATAGCTGACAAGCAAATACCTAAAAACCGTGATAACATGGGAGTAGCTGTATATCGAACTGTGCTTTGACAGGCTGTGTCCAGCAGAGAGGAAAGAAAACTCACAATGAGCTGACTGGTGTGATGCAAGTGAAAAAGCGTGTCTGAAACACAAACTATGAATAATTTAATTTGAATTTATTTGCTTGGGGTTCAGACATTTTCTATAAATGGGGCTAATTTGTTTTCTTCCACATCCACTTAATTTTTCACTAGAGGCATCTTTATGTGAATAATTCATATGAATTATTCTCTCATCCTCACTTTGCCAGTCACTTTCACAAACCCAAGCATTTTGCTTTCATTTTGAAGCCACATAATTCCACACATATATGTAGCCTTTGGATGTTTGAAATCTTGACCAACTCCAGTTTTGGTTTTCTTGTTTTTTTTATTTTTAAAAGTTCAAGTATGGTGTTCCTATAACCTCTATCCAGACAATAAATCGGGACTACCATAGGGAAGTCTACTCTATAGCAGAAAAATATCCAACAAAATAGATTAACAGCATTAACTGTTTGTTTTTTGTATAGTTATATTATTTATTATTTCATATTTCTTATATGATGTTTTTTTCAAGGAACAATCTCTTAATTAATTAAAATGTATTAAATTGTAAAACATTCATATCAAATCAATTATATTCATATGTATAAGGCTCGTATATCACACACTAATAATTTCCATAGATTGCGGTATTCCTCAAACAATATATATATATTTTTTATGGTACTTAGCCATAATATATTCACAGTAAATAAAAAGTATTTTATCAAGAAATTTCAGTAATTGTCTTCCTTTATCACCACCTCATCAGGACCCTGTCCAGGCATTGTAGAAAGGCCATGTTGAGGCCAAACACAATGCTGAGCCTCATTTTGACCTGTTTTAAGGACATTACTTAAAAGTTGAATTAGCCTGTGTTTTTTCATTTGAATTTTGTGTGCGACTACAAGTCCAGGCCTCCATTAGTTAATACATTAGATTGACATTTATCATTTTTTTGTGTGATTTTGTTCCACGTTTGCCTGTACTAAGGGTGTTGTCAAATTGTGGAATACTCTAAAGATCTTCTCAAACAAGCTGTCACTGCACCTTCCTTGTGGAAGCAGAGACCAGGTCCTCATAGCTAGACGTGTTTATCAACAAGGTGATCAAAAACGGTCATCAAGGTGATCAAGAAACTCCGAGGTGGTAATACTTCTGTAGTGGTTGAGATCAGCCCTGATTACTTCTAGTCTTTGGATGTTGATGGGCTGGTGTTGCTGAGACGCCTCTCTTAAACATTGCATGGCGGTCAGGGACCTTGCCTCCAGACTGGCAGATTTGGATGGTACCCTTCCATAAGTAGGTTGTGTTCCGACTACAAACAATTCAAACTGCTCACATCTCAAAGCGGTTTTGAACCAGAAGGAGTATAGCTGCTACTCTACTGAGTTAGCTTGGACAGCTGTTTTAATGTCGCCTGGATACCTCCATCTGAAGTAAGCAATCTGGAGACCAGTAAAACAGCTAAACAACTTATTTTTTATTAATTAATTTATTTATTTTTTAATTTTTTATTATTATTATTATTATTATTATTATTATTATTATCTTATTTCTACCGGTACACTTTTAAGCATGAAAATCTTTAAACCTTCAATTTTACAGGTGCTGGTCATAAAATTAGAATATCATGAAAAAGTAGATTGATTTCAGTAATTCCATTTAAAAAGTGAAACTTGTATATTATATTCATACATTACATACAAACTCATATATTTCAGATGTTTATTTTGTTTAATTTTGATGATTACAAATGACAACAAATGAAAATCTCAAATTCATCATATCAGAAAATTAGAATATTGTGAAAAGGTTCAAAATTGATGGCCCCTGGTGCCACACTCTAATCAGCTAATTAACTCAAACCACCTGCAAAAGCCTTTAAATGGTCTTTCAGTCTAGTTCTATAGGCTACACAATCATGGGGAAGACTGCTGACTTGACAGTTGTCCAAAAGACGACCATTGACACCTTGCACAAGGAGGGCAAGACACAAAAGGTCATCGCTAAAGAGGCTGGCTGTTCACAGAGCTCAGTGTCCAAGCACATTAATAGAGAGGCGAAGGGAAGGAAAAGATGTGGTCGAAAAAAGTGTACAAGCAAGAGAGATAACCGCACCCTGGAGAGGATTGTGAAACAAAACCCATTTCAAAAATGTGGGGGAGATTCACAAAGAGTGGACTGCAGCTGGAGTGAGTGCTTCAAGAACCACCACACACAGACGTATGAAAGACATGGGTTTCTGCTGTCGCATTCCTTGTGTCAAGCCACTCTTGAACCACAGACAGCGTCAGAAGCGTCTTGCCTGGGCTAAAGAGAAACAGGACTGGACTGCTGGTGAGTGGTCCAAAGTCATGTTCTCTGATGAAAGTAAATTTTGCATTTCCTTTGGAAATCAAGGTCCCAGAGTCTGGAGGAAAAGAAGAGAGGCACTTCATCCACGTTGCTTGAAGTCCAGTGTAAAGTTTCCACAGTCAGTGATGGTTTGGGGTGCCATGTCATCTGCTGGTGTTGGTCCATTGTGTTTTCTGAGGTCCAGGGTCAACGCAGCCACATACCAGGAAGTTTTAGAGCACTTCATGCTTCCTGCAGCTGACCAACTTTTTGGAGATGCAGATTTCATTTTCCAACAGGACTTGGCACCTGCACACAGTGCCAAAGCTACCAGTACCTGGTTGAAGGACCATGGTATCCCTGTTCTTAATTGGCCAGCAAACTCTCCTGACCTTAACCCCATAGAAAATCTATGGGGTATTGTGAAGAAGAAGATGCAATACACCAGACCCAACAATTCAGAAGAGCTAAAAGCCACTATTAGAGCAACCTGGGCTATCATAACACCTGAGCAGTGCCACAGACTGATCGACTCCATGCCACGCCGCATTGCTGCAGTAATACAGGCCAAAGGAGGCCCAACTAAATACTGAGTGCTGTACATGCTCATACTTTTCATGTTCATACTTTTCAGTTGGCCAACATTTCTATAAATCCTTTGTTTTTATTGGTCTTCAGTAATATTCTAATTTTTTGATATGATGAATTTGAGATTTTCATTTGTTGTCATTTGTAATCATCAAAATTAAACAAAATAAACATCTGAAATATATGAGTTTGTATGTAATGTATGAATATAATATACAAGTTTCACTTTTTAAATGGAATTACTGAAATCAATCTACTTTTTCATGATATTCTAATTTTATGACCAGCACCTGTATGTTGAAGACAGACTGGGAAAATATGTCTAACCTAGGATCAGCATTACCTACAAAGCTTGTTCCAATGAGGAAGAATTAGCCTTATATACATGGAAACAAGTTACAAACAAAAAAAAGTTATCTGAAATGGAGAAACATTATATAAAAATTCAAACTATGAATATTTCTCTTATATCTGGCCTATTTTTTAGGGTGAACAGTCTAACGATATGATAGCAGTCCTTAAAGTTTTCTGTTTTAGACACATTAGTGCCTGTAGCCTGCAGACAGCTTTCAAACTTAAATTAATTACATTACATCCTGAGGCCATAAACTCTCCACATTCACGCTAATGTATTTTTATTTAGAGAAATATTGCATGCTGAGTACATAAAGGTTTTATTAAAGATGATTAATGTTAATTGGGTAAATTGTCAACACCAGTTTGCATCACAGTGATAATAAATTACTAGGATGCAAATGTAAGTATAGCACTCTGCACTGTGAAATATGGTAATATTTACATTTTGGGGGAAATTATTCCATTTAAATAATTTTAAACAATAAACTACATTTATGTACATTTTCTCTTGGGAAGAGAAAATATAGTTTTTTTGGCACCTGCATCAATAGGTTTGTTCGTTATCCACGCTCTCCTGTGTGTCTTCAGGGTGCTGCAGAGTGAGTACAGGCGACTCAAGTGGAAGCACGAAGAGGCAGCAGCACTTCCCATGCTAACTGAAGCTGGTGAGGGAGGCCCAGGATCACCGACAGAAGGAGGAGCGCAGGATGAAGAGCTGCTGGCCGAGGCACGGGTCCTGCGGCAACACAAAACACGCCTGGAGACTAGGATGCAGATCCTCGAGGACCACAACAAACAGCTGGAGTCCCAGCTGCGCAGGCTCAGGGAGCTTCTGCTACAGGTAAACCTGGAGTATAGGGAATGAACAGCAATGCAAACGTGCTTTGACTGTAGGTATTACTGATAGAAAGAGTTAAGTTGTATTCAGATGTTTACATTTATTGCAACAGATTTTGAATAAATTAAATTGAAAATGTTCTTTTTCTGGGTGGAATAAACTTTTTTATTTTTTTTTTTTTTTTTTTTTTTTTACAAATGAAATTACTGTATGGGTCCTAGTTTGACTTACAGTGTATTTTTTTATTCCAAAAAGGCATTAAACTGTACAAACATGTTTAAATATCTAAGTACAACACCACCAATATATTTGGTGAAAGAATCACTTTGAAAGCTGCATCACAATCATGAAACGTACTTTTAAGCACTGTCCAGAAATGATCACAGGAACTGACCTCCACACCATTGCAGGAAAACCCTTATATTTTCTCTGAATAATTTTACCTCAGTAAGTTATTCACAAAGGACTTTGGTCTTAAAGAAACTAGGGGGAGAAATTTTGAAAGAATACACACCCATGTTCAATTTGTTAGCGTTAATGGATGATAAAGCATTAAAAACCAAAATCAACAAGCTCTTTCACGTCGCTCTCCATTACCCTGAATAGGCTGTGTTTTGCATAATACCCTGCATATCGAGGGTGAATTTCCCATGCAGTCGTTAGGATGTAACTTCAGTTTACGCTGCTGAGGTGCAGTACTGTTTCCTCACCTTTTATCTCCATTTTATGGTTGTTTTCCCAAATATAACAGCCTTAAACAGACAGGCAATGATAGTGAAATCCTGGTGAGTTCACATTGATATTAAATCGATGAGCTGGTAAAATGAGGGGTATGTTGCGTAAATAAAACTATAAGCAAACTAATATAATGATGAGGATGTGAATAGGGCATGTTTAAAAATGTTGATGCTTTGCTGAATTTCATCAACATGAAAGACATTTCTTTATCCATATCTATGATCGGTTGATTTCACTTGGAGCGCATTTGTGTTTTGTTTTTCTTTTGATTGTTGTATCAACCAATCACAGGAAAGTGTCCCACCTAGCATTGGGGTCAACAGCACCTCCTCACTATAAAAATTCCTGTTGCCTCCTTGCTTAGAGTAACTCTCGGCAGCTACAGCAGCTGATAGACTCTCTTGTTAACAGAGGATTTTTAGGGTAAGATACTGTAGGATCACTCTGTGAGAATATTTGTTAAAACTGTGTTTGGGAAAGTTGCCAAGCTTGAGCTACAAGCTGTGTCCAACTGTTAACATCCTAGCAGTATATATAAATGGAACTTAGAGAGGATCCAATACCCACATGATGATGCTACTGACTATATAGGGGGGAATTAAATTGTGTAAATCTATTTGTTCATTGCATATTTTGTAAACTTTTTCCACCCTGGGAGAATAACATTTGAATGTCATATTAATCTGTATCTTCATGCTGAATGTCTGCACCCATCTAAACAGAAATGTAATCCTTTTCCAAGTTATCACAAGTGAAGTTCCTACTTATGTTGTGTAGGTTCTTTAAAGTCGTAGGGAAATCATATTTATATGTCAAATCATTCTGGCTTAAACATGTATATAAATGTACTCTTTATCAGACGATATTGTTCCAAAATTTTGGAAATTTCTAGTTTAAAAATAAAATCCTGTCTTAAATTCTGTTGGGGGGGGTCGCTATTTTATGCAGGCCAGTTAGTTATACGTCAGCATGTACACCTAAATTCAGCCAATCATATATCAACGGTCATCTGTCAATCACATTTTTTAGGTCATAGCATTTTGATTCATATGTCGCAGCTAATATTCACAACGAGTGAAATAAGAAATAAGAATCATTTACTTTACCATTGAGTTCCGTCCCAGTGTTCACGGGGATGGATGTCTGTGTCCTCGGCAGGCGTAGCGCTAACAGAACTGGCAGCGTTGCAAGTCAAGGGCTCATACATGTATGGCTGTAAGCCTTCTACATCAAACCAAGCTTCTGCCACCCTGGTGTCTTCTTTGAAATATCATCATCCCCCACTTTCCACCTCTAAGACTCATCCACGACCTCTGACACAAAACTCTCCTCCTCTTGCATGTTTCCGCTCTCCATAGCGTTCCTTGACAGTAGCTACGTTTACATGCGCAAAATTTCCCCGATCCGATCCAAACCTTGGTTGATCGGAAATTCAAAATCTCCGTTTACATGGACACTAAATGAAATGATCCGATCATGACGTGTGTATACATGTACCAAGCGTTGGATCAGATTAAATCTTTTAAGCATGCGCAGAACTTCCTGCCAAACTTGGCAGTTCTGTCTGCGTCTGGTTTTTGGGAGGCCTGACAAACGATGCGCTTGGAGCGAGCGGAAAGAAAAACGGAGAGAGGAGGAAAAAAGCGCTTGGCAGCGAAATGTCCGAGAGAAAATGTAGAGAATGAGCGATTGAACCGGCGTGGGAGAGCAGGTGGGCTGTGGAGAGAGAAAAGAGGAAGAGGAGGAGGATTCCTGCTTCCTGCAGCTTTAAATGAACTTGAGTGTATAAGTCGGCGTTCCTAGACTCCTCCCGCCATGTTGTTCACAACAAGAGCGAGAGCGACCGGTGGTTTCCTGTTGTTGACAAGGCGGAAAAACGTCACGCTGACGTCGCACACATGCGCAGTGAAGATTATTTTACTCTTAAGATCCGAATGGGTGTTTACATGGACGCCAATCGGAATGGCGATCGGCAAAAACCACCTCTCTCTTTCGGAATTAAATTTAGATCCGATCGGACCGAATCGGATTAGAATCTTCAGTCTGACATGTTTACATGAAACATTTTTGATCTGATCAGGCCTTCAATCCGATTAGTTGTGTCCATGTAAACGTAGCTAGTGTTGTTACTAAGTCACCAATTTAGTGCTACTTGGTCCCAATGTAATTTCCCATTGGGGACCTACTAGCACTAAGTTGCTAACTGGTTAGCAAGATGTTTCCAACAAAGTGGCCACAATCAAACTTGCTTGTGAACCTTCCGCCACAACCATCCCGCCCCCTTGATGATCAATCAATCACATTCACTTTATTCACTCGTGTAAAGTCGGGCACCACTTGGGAGAATTCTGAAATGCAACGGTTGGAACAGCTGTTTCCCTACAATTTAAGTGTAAAAGAGTTTTGCCTATGTGTTTATATAAAAAGAGTGTCTTGTTAGGTTCAGATGGTCTTCAGGTTATTTGTTTTTAAGTATAATTTTTCAACAGGAGCTGCTGTATTTTAAATGAACTAGCACACTGTTAAAATAAAAAGAAATTTGTGTCTTCTCATTTTATTTTAACAGGTAATCAGAAGCATGCAAATACATGCTTTCGATAGCAGCTTTGTCCAATTTGACATTTTAGCTGGAAGTTATAATGAAAGAGCCTGTTTTATCATAGAGTTAAGTTAAAGATGACACAAGAATGAAGACTGAACTGAAGGGGCATCATGCTTCTTTTTTAATCATAACCAGCTGATATGGAGAAATACTAGTTACCATGTATATCAATCTTTAAATGTCTTACTTTGTTTCTCAAATCCTTTCCCTTTTTTGCTGCATGAGCTTTTTTCTTCCATACTTTTTATTTTTAGCACAGTTAAAATGAAAGCAACACAGAGAAAATTTTGAGTTTATACTTCTAGATAAACAAAATAAATACAACAACAGTACATGTAAACCAGTTGGGGAATGGAAATACAAAGAAGTACAGTACAAGAACATAAGTTAAAGACGTTGATGGGTCGCATAAAAAGATTCACCGCAGTATAAAGGAAAAAAAGCAAAGAGAGACATAAGAGACTGGGAGCTGACTCATGTTGTTACCGTTATGACGTTGTGTAAATTATTAAGTACAAGTAACTGAATTGCACATTCAGGTCAGTGAATGATGAGAAAACAGAGGGACACCGATGAGAGAGATTCTTAGGAAAAAGGACAGGATGCTGCCTCTTATGCTCTTTAAGACTTAGAAATTGAAAGTGAATGGAAAATAGAGCAGGGAGAAGAAGAGGACGACGGAGTTTCACACAGTATTTCTGCATTCGAGAAAAATGTATGCCGTCTGAGTTATTCTGTCTGTGTAACAATATCACAGCTTTTTTCTCTAAAGTATGCAAAAACTAAATCTGAAATATATGAATCTGGCCCATCTCTGCAGACACCTCTGCAAGTAGCTGAAATTAAAGTCCTCCAGAGGACTGCTTTTCGGCATGTTTTTTGCTGAAAACAAAAACATGCCATGTTGAATATTGTATTGTTGTGTTGCATTATGCATCTTTGATTGTGATCTTAATCCTTTGGTGTTGCACGTTTTAAGGCTTTCTCTAAAGCTTAGAATTCATGAATGCTCTTACACAGTGCGAGAGAATTTCAAACTTTAATGTGTTGGGATATTTCTTTTCAATATTTTAAATAGAAATCTAACTAGCTGAGCAAAGTCCAGCTGTGTGTAACTTAATCTGGTTATAAAGGACAAAATACATCGGCTCTGTCAATGACCCCAGAGGTTTCTTATATAACACATAGCTTAATAAAGACCAAGAAACACATCTGGCAAGTCGGGGAAAAAACTGTGAATCAATCTAAAACAAAGTTAGGGTAAAAAACAATATCTCAAGATCTCATCTCATGTTTAATCAGTTGATTTACAATAGATATTAGGGCACAGCTACAAAACTAACAAGAAATCCCTTTTCACCTAAACTGACTAGAAGAAAACATTAATTAAGGGAGTAGAAAATATGGCCAAAGTCACTCTGGAGTAACTTAGGATAGCTATAGCTTGCGTGCAAGAGCCTGTTGACTGCTCATTCTCCATAAATCTGGCCTTTAACGTAAAAATGACATAGAAAAACACATTTGCTGTTTACAACACGTTTTATAGGGTACATAGTTAACATGTGGAAGAAGGTAAGCTTTTCGTTTGAAATAAATGATAGCCTTTTTTTTTTTTTTTGCCCTGGCTGTGTTGAAAACCAATCACTGCACATCAACCCAAATGTAATGTTTCCACATTGAAACATGTTGGTGGTATCATCATTTGGGGAGAATGTTTTTCCTTAGGTAGATCAGAGAAGAGATCAAATGTCATGGAAGTTTGAATGAAGTCATAGATGTAGAAACACAAGAACTCACCCTGTTACAGGTTGTGGGGAGTGGCACACTAGTGGCTAGGGCATAGGGATTTGGGTTCAAAACCCACTGCCCAATGAAAAAAGTTCTAATATTATTAAACTCTTAAAACTGGGACAGAAGTTCGGCCTTAATCAGAATAACAATCTGTTAAGATGGCCCAGTCAAAGTGCAGGACTATTTCCAAATTAGAAGCTGTGGCAAGACTTGAAGGTTTCTGCTCACAGAAGCTCCCTGTCCAATCTGACTCTGTTTGAAAATTTTTTGTGAAGAAAATATTTCATCCACGGTTGCAAAAAATTATTGCTTCAGGGGAGTTGAGTGCAATTACAAAATAATTTTTCAATCATTGTGTCGGTGTATAATACGAAGTCTGTTAAAATGCACAAATGTGAAAATGTCCTAGAAGTTCTCATTGCATCACATTTCTATCCTTCATTTGAAAGGTTTAGTCACTGAACAATTTTAAATGTGATGAATCGTTTTTGAATGTGTCGTTTTTATTTCTTCAACCAGCCCAAAGATGATTCAGAGGCAAACGGATCAGAGCTGTCGACCCTGTCCTCGCCAGTGTCAGGAGGGGGTCACCAGGGGGAGCCCCACAGCAGGGAGACCACCGACACAGAGGCAGCAGGTCAGCATCACACAGCTTGGCTGAAATTTAATAAAAGAATGCTAAATGGTAAATCCACAGGCTCTTCCATCATATCCAGTTGTCACCCACGTCCTAACAGGTTTAAACTGTGTTTGTGTGTCAGGAGACAGTCTGGAGCGTGAGCAGGACACAGTGCTGCAGCTTCAGGAGGTCATTGAACAGCTGAGAAACGTCTTCCCCTCGGAACCGGGTGAGTGCATCTAGATTGCACCGATCTCTGCTCCAGGGAGAGTGAGAGATGGAGAGGAGAGCAAATATGTACTGCTGTGGGTCGATAGGCAGGGAGGGAGGGACACAAAGATTAAATGGCAAAGGGGGAGGGAGATAAGAGTGACACATAGACTGCTGCAGAGAGAAACTGTTAGCGTCACTGTCACAGATTTATAAATTACTCCTGTGCTTTTAAAGTCCAGTATGCAAGGCGATCCATAACCATTTTTCAATACAGCCTTCTTGGCTTCATTTTTTCTTGGCCTACATATGTTCATATTTCTTTTGTTCTCTAATTTCAGGCACCACATCACACATCTAACCCTATGAGTGCCCTAAAGAATTAGAATGATGGCCTGGAACGAGGCATGAGGTCAGACGTCGAGACGTCAAACCCTACAACTGCCGCAGCTGCAACATTGAGAACTAACCCTCGTCTGAAGCGCTGTGCACTAAAAGCCTTTCTCTTGCAAACTGCCGAAGGCTGACGCTGATGCCCTTTTTGGCCAGGCTGAGCTTTGTAGGTTAAGTGACAGCATGTTAAGGAGCAAAGAGGAATACATTGTTAGCAGAAGGTGAGGTGGGGAAAAAAAAACCTTAACGTCCAACCAAGACACTGTGCTTACCAGTAATTGTGTAGTCGTTTAAAGGTGTGAAGCTTTATATCAGTTCAGAGCACAAAATCCAGATGAAGAACTTCAAAAATACAGAACTGAATAAGAAGGGATTCACTTGTGTTTTTTTACGTTTGAATGTGATATTTGGGATTTTTTTTAAGACATTGTACGTAGGGTCTGCTTGCTGATTTTATATCATTTGATATAAGAGATGCAAATTGGAGCTGAGAACTCTCAGAAGAGCGCTTTTGTTTGTTTGTTTCCTTTATGAGAATGGTGCATCTTCAGATAAATCCCTGATCTATTAAAGACTGCCCAAAGTGCCCGCTAGCACAGCGCCTCTGTTTGCACACACTGCGCTTCACTTCTAGCTCTGCTTGTCACTCTCCTAAGTGAGCCCCTCACACGTATGCTGCTATACAAACACCCTATTCAGATTCCACCTGCATTCTGGTTAAATACACAAAGAGCCCATTGCAAAACTAATAACATGCTGTGCAAAAACATGCACCCCATATACTCTTTCATAGACCTGAGAGATTGATTTATTTTTCCTCCAATGAATTCAGCAAATTACAAGCCAATTTGTATTGTTCCTGGAATTCTGTGTTATTGAGGAAGCATATGCTGATATGTATCACCATGCGTCCCCCCCTCCCCGGGATCTTATTGTTTTCATGCTGTGAGAAGAGAAATTGACAGGAGCTCAAAGCTGATGCCCTCCCCCTCTCCGCTAGGCCAATTTAAAAAACAACAGGGGTCTATACACTGTAAGGCTCACCACCATAATGCACTCTTTTAGCATCATTATCCATGACGATCTTTTCACTCAATGCAGTTTTAAAATACTTATATAGATTTGTATGTGTTTTTTCTCTTTGATAGCACATATTTACATATATAAGGGATATGTGAAGAATAACTTCATTATTTACACGTCTTATAAGAATATTCATATACCTGGAACCAATGTTGTAACAAAAAGAAACAAAACATGTGCTTTATTGGGATTTTATGTGGCAGAAGAACATAATATATTCCATGATATTTAATGGAAAAATCTATAGTATTCAGGCTCTTTTACATGCAAGGAAATGGAAAATGATTATGCACACATTACGCATACATTATCAGTGACTTTTATTCCAATACTTCCAAAAGGAATCCAGTAAATGTAATGGCCTTCAGAGATTAAAGGTGTAATGGAGGATTTTCACAATTTTTTAAAAAGATCCGCCCTCTCTATTTAAAAAAAAAAAACTGCACATACACAACCCTGTACCTGCTCCCGAGAGGGAACGCCTATTAAATACGTGCAAGAGCATGTACGAGCACATTACTCCTCGTGCACGCTCTGTTTAAAAGTTGCTGTTTGTTTCTCTCGTACGAGCTTACTTTCCAAAAGAAGATTTGCAATTTTTCCACTATGTCAGACTCACCACCGGTAAGTAAAAATGGGGACGAGCACGTAGGACAGCCTTTAATAAACATATGACCAGAATGATTGACAATTTTGAGGGCCACTTATTTTGATGATCCACCTGGAAAAAGAAAATCCTCCACTGTACCCTTAAAGAACTGGTAAAAGGGGTCCTTCTTATATGCAATTTAGTGTTGGTAAGGTTCAAGTTGTTGTTTGAGTTCCGCAGAGGTTTAGCAAAGTGTATTATGGAGAAACAGGTCAAGGAAAAAGTTTAAGGGAAGTGAATAGCAGGGTTATGTTATGAAATTAACAGGCTTCAACTATTTTAATGTTAGATTTGTCATTTGAAAATGAAACCTATAATTCCATAACTACAAACCTAAAAAGACCCGATAATCCATCTAGTTGACCAGCTGGCTAGGGATATACTTAATAAGAAAAAAAAAACTATATTCCCATCGTAACTCAGGAGGAGCTGCTGCAAAGATCCATAGCTTAGCGATATAAATATTTTTGAATGCAAGATGTTACTGGGGCTTCTCATGCACCTGAATACACTATCACCACTGTGAAATACGATGATTACAGCATCCGCTGAAGGGGTGATAGTCTTTAGCAAGGATATTTAAGTTAAGAATATATGCATTGATGAATGGAGCTAAACATGAGACAAGCGGCATCTCCCTTCCCTTTTATGATCACTCAATGGTTTGTGTTTTATTCTCACATCAAATCCCAATAAAATAAAATGTTTTGATTGTAATTTGACGAAAAGTTTAATGGGTGTTTAAACTTTAAAATTTTGCGAGGCACTGTAAGTTCTTGCATGCTCTTTCTTGCAGACACTGATTAATGCCTTAAAAACAGAACTTTGTCAGGCATCAGACTGAGAGCAGGTCAAACCGGTCCGGACACATGATGCTTGCTGCTCACAGAGACTACTGATCTAAAAGGTATAAAAGGGGGAGGCAAAAAATACATAAAAAAAAAAAAGAATTATTGTATTTATCAGTGGAGGGCTGGTGAACAGATCCACTTTGATGTGCCTCCCATTTTTATAAGCAGCACTGGAGTTTACCTGAGAGACTAAAACACTGGCTTTGTGTATTATTGCAAGTAAAACCATGTCGTTGTTTCAAAAAGGACTGATGGGTTGAGAAATTCATCCTAACTATCAAGAGGAAGGTGCTCTGACCTCACAAACACAAGTTTGAAACCTGTCTGCTGCATTTATTACGTTGTCAGACTGCAGGCTCACAGCACTCACATTTGACACCATCCTCCTCAGTGCTTGCTCCCTGTTAGTTTTGATGCAGTTGCTAGGGAACTATCCCCAAGGACGCAGCAGGTTTGCGAGACAGATAGTTCATGTGCAGTTCATATAACAAATGCTAATAGCCTTAAGGTCAGCAAAAGAAAGCTCCATGTTTCCAAAAAAAAAAAGCTACCATTTCGTAACCTCCACTAGATCTTGCTGCTGTTCAGCTGCTGAAGGGAGTCGTTATCATTAGCAAAATTTTCTTTTGTGCATTTGAACGGCTTCAAATCTCTTTTTATATTTTTTCCAGGGGAGAACAATGGGCTGAAACTCTGCTTGTGGCGGGGGAAAAGCGATGACAAGCAGTGTTTACTCTTTGTAATTTATCTCTTTGTATTTACGCATGTCATTACATAATGATTAGCCATCACACACACTGTATCCATACTTGATGAACAAAAACATGTAGCGGTGACAAGCTGTGAAAAAGATGAGGAGGTATTCAGAGCATCTCAGCCTTTATTTATCTTAATATCATACCGACATGGCAGTTACATAAATTCAGCCAATGGATATTTAATGAAGTACCATAGATTATCAGAGCTTGTTGATTAGGATTCAGACACCCTGAATCCAGTAACTACAATAATAATCAGACAAATTGACTGCTATAATGCAGGCATAAATTATTGACATTGTAAAGATTTTCTGCTTCGTTCCCATTAGCTTGGAAGTTAAATGTGGAAATGACATTTCCCCTCCCTTGATTCTCCAGTTGCACATTCAGAATACCTTATTCGTCTATGGCATACACAAGTCATTAAATCACAAAGCTTCATTTTAAAGTGTAGTGGAAGTTTTTTCTTTTATTAATACAAATTTAAATAAATTAAATTATCATACTGGAAAAAAAGTAAAAAAAAAAAAAGGAATTTAGATGGTGTTTATGCAACTTAACACACAGGAAAACATTTGGTCACTGGTAGTGAATCTATGATGCAACATCACTAGGGTGAAAGCTATTATTAGCAAAGTAGCACAGCTTAATACATAAATTAAAAAATAAATATCTATATTGTCAAATAAAACAAAAAATTAATGACTTAAATATTCAGATATAAACATGTTACCATCTAAGTGAATCATTGAACGTGTTTATAATGGAATATAAACATAACAACATAATTTTTATTCCTTTACTTTTCAAAGGACATTTAATTATTTTACCATCTAATAATTGTGCATTGCCCTGATTTACTTTGCCTGCCTTAGCTATCAAAATCTGTTTGCACGGCTAACAATGCCATAAAGTCAGTGATTAATATTGAAATGAGTTGCTGTCTATGTAACCAATGGACACGAAAGCCAGTAAAAATCTGTCCACCTTGGTAAATTACTGGCAAGCAGTTTTTATGTGTAGTATATGCAAAGTCATAATCCACCAAATATTCAATCTAAACATTCCTTTCTATTCTGATGCACACAGTTCTTATAGAATTATCCTTTTGTTAAATCATATTAAATTACACCATACAGTATATTGTTAAACAGGTTTTATTACTGCAGTTATCACCAAATGTTACTCCTGTCTGCTATATTTGATTTAGAGATCCAAACTGATGAACTTGATTTGATTCAGGGTTTTTTTTTATTTGTTTTAGTGTGGTTTTGATTGGCATTTAAAGTCAATTTTCCTATTTAGATTGCTAAAATTTTAGCTTTAAAGTAAAATGAATGCAGCAGTTAACTTTTCTAACTTCCTGCAGCATCTAGCTGTTGAGCAGCCCCAAAGTTAGAATATAAAACAATTAACAATGAGTAATGATTGGGCTATGTTATTGCTTACATCTGTTGTTTATTGTTCCACGGCTACAGATATATACATCTTTACATTGTTTATGTAAAGTTTACTTTTGAGTTTAGTTGCCATGTCCTACAGCCACCAAGACAAAAGGCTACAATATCAGCGAGTCCATAACGCCTGTGCTAATGTCTGACTCTCACCTGTAATCAGTTAAAGGTATAATGGAGGATTTTTGGAAACTTTAAAAAAAAATCCGCCCCCTTCAGTAAAAAAAAAAAAAAAAAATGCATATACACAACCCTGTACCTGCTCCCGAGAGGGAACGCCTATTAAACGTGTGCAAGAGCATGCACAAGCCCATTTCTCCTTGTGCATCCTCTGCTTAAAAGTTGCTGTTTGCATCGCTCATTCAAGCTTACTTTTCAAAAGAAGATTTGCAATTTTTCCACCATGTCAGACTCACCACCTGTAAGTAAAAATGGGGACAAGCATGTGGGACAATTGATTGACAATTAAGAGGGCTACTTATTTTGATGATCCACCTGGGAAAAGAACCTCCTCCACTAACTTTAATGTTTAATTTACAATCATACCGTTATTCCATTTTATATGGTATATTGCCTCTTCAAATATGTGCACTAACAGTCTTTACTCCATGTTGCATGATGGAAACTGTGTATTTGAAGATGGAGTTGCCTCTGGGCAAGCCCCTCCAAAGAACATTGCCATCACTGACCAACATGCTCACAGGCATCATTTTGTCCGGCCTTTCACTGATGCTTCCCCCTGTGTCGAATTTGATCATGTACCCAAAGCTCAGCTATGTCATATATCACAGCCTCATACATGAATTAACCTCAAGCAAGTTTTTGATTGCACATAAAGTCATTTATTCATCACATTTCTTTATTCTGTTTAACTTACTAAAAATATACCTCATTTATCACCTGGAAGTTCATTGTTTCAGAGTTGTTCTCTTATTGTCCAACACTTTGTCTTGTCTATTCTCTAGAGTTTTTAATCTGTATAAGAGGTTTTCTGAGGAGAGGCTTTTTACTGTAATAACAAGTGGGTTACCGGCTGCTTTCTACTCTTTGTGTACAGAAATAAAACTTTGTATTTGGCAAACTGCTTGTTTGTGTGTGCTTTTTGTATTTCTCTTGACTGTGGTAGGCCCTTTGGGAATTAAAAAATACGACTTAGCTCAGAATGAGGCCAAATAAATGCTGGTTATATTAATTTATTTCTGTGTTTGTATTTGGCTTTTAGGTGGTAAAATCATTATTTCCTGATTTTGTTTTTCTAGCTCCAGCTATGTTATAATTCCTGTTGCTATGGGCTATTTATCTTTGTAATTTTACTTACAAATGTTAATTTTGACTCTGTAGAGGATGCTGACAATTTATTAGAGTGTTTTGTTAGAGTCTCCTTTTCCTGTTACTGGCTTTGTTCTGTTGGGGTTTGGAGTACCTTTTGATTGACGTTTGACCTTCTTTTTCCCTCTATCTCGCACTGATCTCCTGCTTACTACATTATCTAAGCTGGTGGATGGAGGGTCACCATCTTTATCTGTTTTGCTGTTATCTACTTCAGGAGCCCCAACCCTTACTGCTTTTTCTTCATCTGACCCCAATTCACTTATCATCCCACTCTTTTGCTCTTTATAACAATGCTCTGCTTTCAAAACAGGATTTTTTTCTGTTTCTGTGTCCCCTGCTCTTTCAGTCTCAATGGTATGATGTTCTTCTGGGCTTTCCTTCTCTTCAACTTTACTCTCTTCAGTCTTTTTATCCATTTCGATGTTTGCCTCTGTGGGTTGCTTAGCTGAGTTAGTATTCTTCTTTCTCACTACACCCTTGGTCCTGCTTCCACCAGGACCCCACTTCTCCTTTGTTGTTTCCCAGTAATTCTTGTTCTGGCGGGCGTGCATGATGCGGATGTTTTCTGCCAGCATTTTCAGCTCCTGACGAACAAAGGGTCTAAACTTTGGATCCAATTTCTCCACCATGACAAAGTCCCTTTGAGCTTCATCCTCGTTGCACAATGCTGCATGTGCCCGAGCCCTCTGGTACACTGCTTTAAAGTTACCTTTGGAGTAGAAATGAGAAAGACTTAGAGGAAATAATGGAGGATCTGAGAGCAGTGGAAAACATAGTTACCCCTACATTTGAGGTAAATGAGAATAATGCAGAGCCGTTTTCATAGCCCTTCCTTTGTTTTTGATGTTTTTTTTTTTTTTCACAGTACAAAAAATAACTCATATCAATGCATATTGGAGGAATTTTATATAATAGAGCATCACAAAGTAGTTTTCAACATTTTCAAGAAAGAGAAATGTAAAACCTGTGGAATGTATTTATTTTTAGCCCCCATGAGTCAACGATTTGTAACACTACCCTTCACAGTAGTTACAGCAACAATTCTTCTAAGGTACATCACTGCAAGATTTAACATCTTTAGATGGAAAGTTTTCCTCATCTTTTATTTTATTTAGTCTTTTTTAAATAGCAAAATCTCCCACTGATTAGTTGAAAACAACTTTTAACTATAAATATTTCATTGCAGAGGAAGCAAAAAGAAGATTCATTTTTGACTGTGGTGACCATGGATGTCAGGGGAACAAAGAGAGACACCAAAGTGTAGTCTTGTCTAGTCTTGTGTTTTCTTGGTAAACAAATAGATTTTTTTAGAGTAAAAGCAGGACCAGAGGTAACGTCTTTATACTTTTAAGCTTAAAAAATACAAATAAACTTGTGTTTCTATTTCTGTATCAAGAATGATTTTTTTTCAGCTTCCTGTCAAACATAACAGACTCTTTCATTTTTCACACCGACAAATCCTACCTTTATGGCTCTTTAGCAGCCTGTCGTTTAGCTCCACCACCTCCTGGTATTGTTTCAGCTCTAGCTTACATTGGCTGAGGTTGAGACTGAGAGGAAGACGCACCTTCTCCAGCGACTCCCAGTCCTCACTGTGTTGATCCACCTGCTGATGAAATGCAGTGGGCAGGGGAGGCAGGTGGGAGGTATTGGGGGAGATATATGGGAGAGGAAATTTTAAAAAGATTAAACCCAAACAAGAGTGAGTAAACAACAATAAAAAAGGCAGGAAATAAATGATGATGATGTGTAGGGGGTGACTCAAGAGGCTCGCAATGTAAAGGAAAAATAATGATAGAGCATGGGGGTTTTGTGAAGGTATAAGGTGGAACTCAGCAGTGAGATGGGTTAGGGGAAAGTTGCTGAAAAAACAGGAAGAGCTTTGAGAGCTATGACTGTGACATCTCTGTGGATCTCTGTTATTTTTAGCACGCTTTCTCTGCTCTTCAGTTTCCCTGCAAATCACATCTACTCTTCAGTATAGAAAAAAAAAAAGATAATCAAATGTGGTTAAAAACTAGAGGCCATTTGAAAACCCCTTTTTGGGCAGATTTGCTTCTTCACTTTAAATCAGTTTTAAAGATGTTGTTTAAGACAGTTCAAATTAAACCAGGTTTCACTTCCTGGCAAAAGCATTTGTCTTTAAAACAATAAAAAATTTTATTACATTACAACCACAAACTTAAGCATATTATATCGGGAATTTATACAATAGACCAATCAAATGAAGCCCCTTTACTCTGGTCAAACACCTACAGAGCCCATTTGGGATGTAGTTTAAACTGAGGATGAACAAGCCAGGACCAAGGAAGGCCAAAATTGAAGGAAGACAAAAATTGTGGGGAGGTTTAAATAGGGATTAGATGACCAAACTAAATATTGAGTTTTCTCACATCTGCCAAAGCACTGTTCAGGTCATCATTACTAAGTGGAATACAAAATAATTAAATTCAGTTTGAATTCAGTTCATTTATTTAGCGCCATTTCACAACCCATGTCATCTCAAGGCACTTTACTGTTCTCCAGATCATACAGTCAAATTGATTCAAAGTTTTCTATCTAAGGAAAACCAGTTGATTGCATCGACTCATTGACTTGGATGCAATCCCTCACAGTAAGCATACATGTAGCTGCAGTGGAGAGGAAAAACTCTCTTTTAATGGAAAAAAACCTCCAGCAGAACTAGGCTTAGTGTGAGCGGCCATCTGCCGAGGGCGACTGGGGTAATAAAGTACAACTGCTAACTTGGCAAGACATGTCTTACCTGACAGGGTGGGTAAATAGGCCGTAAATTAGTAAAACATCAATAGTCACATGGTAAATCTGAGGGGGATTCATAGCTTAGGTTGGAGAATTTGTTCAGAGGGTAAACACTGGTTGTGTACTCTAGCATTAACTATTGGAATTTTTAGCAAAATGTGTTTTATGTCTGCAATGAAAGCCAAATGAGATCCCCACTGTAAGACATTATGGTGACAGTACCAAGCTATGGAATGCTTGTATTCTGTAGGAAAATGAAAACTCCTCAGAGTAATTCTCATACCTTGTTTTGTAAGAAGTCCACATATTCCAAAGCCTCCTTGAATTTGGTGGAACCCTCTTGAAAGCGCTTTTCTTTGATGCAAAAGTTTCCTTCATTCTGCAGCAACATCACCAGTCGTAACATTTGTTGCCAGTCCTTCCCCTCCATTTTATCACAAGCGTCGACTTCGACTACAGAGGTGCCGTCTTCCTCCCTGGATCCCTCAGGTGGTGTAACATTTTCTTCTCCAGATTCTTCTTTTTCAACACATTTCATCTCAGTTGAACCATTTTTCTTTCCGCATGTAGCTGCAGTCGTACTGCTTTTAAGGTCATCTTTGCTTTCTTTGTTTTTTTGTTCATCTTTCTCATTCTCCTCTTCATTATGGACCTCATCATTCGCCTCTTTGCTTCCACCCTCTGTTTTCTCCAGCATGTTCCAGTATTGCTCCTTTTCCTGCCAGTACTTCTCCTTCATGTGCTCCGACAAGGCATTCAACTCTCGACGAACAAGCGCAGCAAGAGTAATGTCCAACTGGGCCACCATGTTGAAGTCTTTCCGAGCTTCTTTTTCATTCCACACTGCAGCATGAGCTTTGGCACGCTTGTAGTAGCCCTTCACACAGTCTAAAATGCAGAAATTTAAGGTCATACTTGAGGATCATGGCAGGATTGTTTTAAACAAGATTGTTTAAAACAAGATTTTCTTTTTTGCATTAAAGTAAAAATCTGTTATCCAGAAGCTGAGATTGCAATATGGATTAGTGCTAACTTAGTATGTAGACAGTTCTTTTTTTTTTTTTTAACAGCGCCAGTTAATATGGTTTGGCCTATCTTTGGTCCAGCTCAATTTGCAATTGTCGGACAACCTTGACTGAACATATTTAGACATATTCAACTTTTTATCCTTTGACTAAAAGAAGGCATAAAAAGTCTTTTTATGATAAATTAAAACTACTATTTTCTAAATGCATCAGGTAGCAACACCACTTCCCAACATATGTGTGAAGAAACACTATGCTCCCATACTGCAGTGCCTCTGTCTTTGGGCTAGATATACTCACTGATGTTTTGTGTTCCTCAGCATTTAATTTCTGTCTAAGCTAAAATTTTATTCAGCCAACAGTTAAACAGATTTCACTGTCGCCACAGGCAGCAGAAGAAACATTGCAGAGAGGCCGCCATTTCCACCAAACTGCTGTATTGAGGGGATGAATTCACCAGATAACATGAAACTGCTGACAGGGGAATCAACAGCATGGCAGTAATGTAGAGTAGATAATGAAAGTTTGTAAAAAAGTGACAAAAAGGTAAAATTAGATGGGAACAGAGTGGGAAGGTGAATAATATATTATCAGCCAATAATAACATTTTAAAAGATTATAAGGAGAATAGTGGGGCTGTCATGACTTGTTGGGTTTGAGAAGTGGAGTGCAAAAACTCTTAACCTGTAACACATCCAATGCCTTACAAGATTAATCATCAGATTTGGTAAGGTTAGAGCTACAAACATGAATGTTCTTTATTTGAATGTTATTTGAGAGAACAACACACATTTCACACAGTTCTGGACCAATCAGAAAAATACAACATGTCATCCACCACAGACCCAGTACTTCACATATTGATTATGTGGGGTTGTCATTCGGTCATTTACTGTCAATTAATGTCTCACGAAAAATAGTTTTAAGATTTTTTCTTTTTTAGTTTAGGGGGAAAGGGAGGAAGATTGTGATTCTAATTTTAGACATTCTTTTGTTTTTCCAAGTAGCAGAGCTCAGCTGACAGGCTGGTCTGCCTGCTAGGCTAGAAAAGCTAACCGGGCGATAACACTTGGAATCCCCACTTACAGCTGCCCCTAAAGGGGTTTCCTCTTGTGCCAGGGTGGCATTGGTCTAATCTAATGTTTTTGTGTGAAAGATTTTGACATATGATTTTATTAATTTTGGAACTAATTAGAAACAACTATATACTGTTTTGCCACAACTTATCAAAATAAATATTTTAGTGGAGTAGGCTATGCTCTTGCAAGCAGCAAGAGCAGCAAAAACGCACGTGCTGCTTCATTTTTTATTCTTGTACAAGTTTAGTTCTTCTTTGCTGCTCCAACTGCACGGTGGAAAAGTGGGACTGATGCTTGTTGGGTGGAGCTGCCCTATCCTTTCCTTGCCTGTAGTGATGGCAGGTATATTTGCTGTGATCAGTGGGTAAAAAGTAGTGTTAATATGTTTTTTAAGTGAGAAAGTCCGCCTGAAAACGTCATCTGTGTAGTCATTTTATCAAGATTACCATCCTGCCTTCAAATATTATTTTGCTGTCGGAGCTGCTCAGACCCCAACATACTGGTGGTGTGCTGTCACTAGGAATCCCGTTCAACAGCAGCCTCTGGCACGGTCGCCTCTTCATGGTTTGAGTGGCTGGAAGGCGTTTTTCATGTGCGTAATCCAAAATGCAGGCACCAGGATAATAAAAGGGAACATATTTTGCCAACAGATTTTGGCATTTTAAGTTAATTTAGGCGTTAATAAACTGTTTCAGAGGAGTGATCATTGTGTGTCCTTGACGTTTTGTCTATGTGTTAGAAATCATGAGTAATTGGACCAAATGGCTTTCCATATGCTGCTTTATATGTTTCTTCTGGAAACCTTTTTTGAGTGCTGCCATCACTTACCTCACTGTCTACAATTTCTGTATGATATAGATGTTTTCTTTTAATTAGACAGTCAATCTATCAATTCCCTGTAAACGTAGACTGAATATAACTGATAAAATATTTATTGTTTTTGCTACAGATATCTGATTTGGGATTGACCTCATTATTATCATGATAAAAAAAAAATAAAGTTTGTTGATAAGTTTTTAGTAGTTACTGTAAATCCATAATGCAGTTATAAAGCATCTACGTGGCCAGATGGAAGCTGTTAAAAAAATACATATCAAATAATTGTTTAAAACGTTCCTGTTTATGGATTAAGTTTAACTTCATTATGGAATAAACTAATATATCACAGGACTCAAAACTTTGTGATCTGATTTTACATCAGTTAAGGCTATTAAAATGTGCATTTTGGAGAGAGTAAAAGGATGGTTATGATTAATCTGGGAGTGCAAGGTAAAAATAGTTTTGTTTTCTTATATATCGTAACTGCCACCAACTTGACAGGAGATTTAGTATTGTTTATCTCAGGTGACTTTAAATAAATATTCCTTAGCTTTTAGATGGAGACAGCAGGCTGACGAGTTCTCAGGATTCCCATTTCCCTGGTAAAACAGGGTTTTAATGCCTGAGCCTTATTATAAAGAGCATGAAATAGCAACAATGTCGATCTTTGATGAATAAATCTTGTTGAGCCAAACAGCGGCAGATTTCACTTGCAGCAAAAATACACTTCAAGGCAGTTTTGACTCATCGGGTTGAATACATACATGTTACAGTTTTATGATTTTATTTGTTAAGGATATCCTTTTTTCCTGCACTATTTCATGCAGTTATTATTGTTGGTCTATCACATATAATTCCACAAAGTTCTAGTTTTTGGCTGTAGCAAGAGAAAGTGTGACATGTTCAAAGGGCATGAAAGCTTCCTTTCAAGATTACTCAGGAGTCCACTTCTACATTTGTTATGAACAGATTTAATGACTTATCGTTAATTCAATTAAACCTTACAGTTTAATTCATACTGGAATATTATCACATGCAAAAAAAGTTGTAAATGTCAATACAAACAAACACAGAATGGGGAAAAAAAAAATACCCCTGAAAATTCAGGCTGTAGAATACAGGCTGTCTGAAAGCATTCCATCACAGGATGAGGGGGCAAATGAGGCTCTGAAGTGGCGGTTTCGCCAACTTGCAAGGCTCCTTTAGGCTCATATGACTAGTCATGTGTTTGACAGTGCAATTCCCAGGGCTTCTCCAGCTGGAAAACCTGCGGTAATGTCAACCTCACGTCCTCCTACGTACTTTCACGCAGCTTACAGATGCAAAATCCAGCAGCTTCTTGTGGAAATCAGAAAAATAAATAAATTTTTTTTCTTTTTGAAACAGCTGAGAGAAGGTGTGGACTGGTTCCCTGTTTAAAAGGTTTTTTTTATATTGAAGAGAATAATTTTCAAAGAGACCAGATTTTGATCTGACTGTTTATCAGAAACAGCTTATAATAAATTGCTATTCAGGAGTACATGAATTTTACTTTCTATTTTTATTTCAGTACTTAAAGATTGCATTGATTGTATTCCCTTATTTAAAACAAAGCAATTAAAAATACTTCTGTGAGAAAGCAAGGTTTTTCCAACTACTTTTCAAGCCAAACTGCTACATATCCATACTGTCACCTTTGCTTCCTTTGAGTTATTAGAAATAACTGTTATAATTAAATTAGTCAAAACCAGGCAAGCTTTTTAAACATAGTTCTCATATTGCATGTATAATTGGATCTCTTTGTTCTTTTTTTATATATACATCACATTAACTGTTCCCTTTTATTAGATTGGAGCAGAAATTTGGTAAATTTGTTTTAGATTTTTTTAAGTGTTTAATCAACACCAACAAGTACACTTCTGGTCAAGAACGTTTAAAAGTGTGCAAAGGGTCTTTATGTTTAATAGAGATCATCTTTACACATTTTCCGATCAACATCAGGTGTATAGTTAACAACAATATTTTACTCAAAATGGATGAAAGCCAATCACTTCCAACTGAATCTCTCAAAAATGGAACTGCTTGTTTTCCCAGTCAAACCAAACCACAATATTCTCATCCAGACAGGATCCCTGTCTATGACTCCATCAAAGGCAGCAAGAAACTTGGGTGTCATGATTTATGACCAGCTGACCTTTAAAGATCATGTTACATCCGTCTCTCAATGTTGTCGCTTCACAGTTCTAAACGTGAGAAAGATCCAGCCATATCTAACCCAACATGCTACCCAGTTCCAAATTCAGTCCATGGTTTTCTACCGTCTTCACTATGGTAACACATTCCTGACTGGTCCCCCAGCTTGTACAATAAAACCATTACTAATGATCAGAACTCTTTTTTACGGTACTACTTTTTAAGTAGCTGTGGATAAAACCGTCTGTTAAATGCATAAACATAAACACATTTGCTATGTGACATAGCATTGATCATCAGGCTTTTATTCCTGGTTAATGCCATTTTTGCCCTACTATAATTTTACTTTTTTAAGTTAAAAAGTCATCCGACCAGGCTCCCTACAGTCGCTTTACACTGTTCCATTTATGAAATTCTGCTAGTGTGAAAAACAAACACTTCCACACCAAAGCTGTGATATACAGTCATAAAAAAATAACCACAAATTTTCAGTTCTTAATAATTGAAAGATCTAGTTTTTACAGGTTCTAAGTCTAACCAAAAGTGTGCAAAACCACAGACTATAGATTTTCAAGTGTCATCATTAATGAAATAGACAACACTAAAGGAAAAAAGTCTTAAAATGGGCCTAACCCTAACCCTTCCTGGGTTCAAATACTGACCTTGATACCTTTAGTCCATATTTACCACCCTTTTCTATCTCTCTCTTTCTGTAAAATCTGATTATTTTCAGTTCAGGCATCTAGTGCTAGAAAAAACACCTGTACTTGTATGTATGCTACTACTGTACTTGATGTTCTAAAATAGGATTAATTTTCTTTCAATTCATTTAATGATTTAGATCAGATTTATTGTTGAAGGCCCACCGATTACCAAGCTTGATGATTTGTATTTACAACTACTGACAGCTTAATGAACGTGAACATTTCCCACATCTCACGTGTCACTGTAATAAGACTACATCAAGCACAGTTAAATTACTGCAGTTACATTTGCTATGAGACTTACTATTAAATATTGACCTTGTTATTTAAATGTGTAGCTTTCTAAACATTTAGCCTTATCCTAATGAATTTATATTTAATTTTGTACCCCTTTTGTAACAATTAATATTTTAAAGACTTGTAGATTAGCCCGTATCATTACTTTAACTAAAAACTATTTTCCTATTTTGCACTAAGCCCAATCGAAGAAAATGACAATGTTTTGATCAGGAAGTGTGCTGTAACCTTGCAATGGTATCTATGCAGTTCAAAAAAGTTCTCCAACTTTGTTAATGTGCACTCAATATAATCCTGGTGAAGTATTTACTGCATATGTTTTAAATTTTAGAAATTTCTGTCACTCAGTGATAGTAAATGTGTTTCAGTCACAACTTTGAGGACAAACTTCAATGCATTTAGCTTTATAAAGCTGAAAAAAAAACATCTAAGAAAAGGCTTAAACTCTTTTTTAAAGAGTGTTAAAACAGAATGTAAAATATAAAAAACTAATAAAGGCCAAAAAGGAATTGCGTTTTCCTCTTTTTTGGGCACATTAGTAGCCTTGAGCTTAGAGTACTGTGAACATATGGAGAGTTTTGCTGGTTCACATCTCTGGAGTGAATAATGACCATACACTGTTAAATCACCTCAATGCACAAGATTAAGCATGGCACCTCTGATGCAGCTGCTAACCCCGGTGGAATGATAGAGTGACACAGCTGTGGGAGTGTGAAGCTTGGTGACGCAAGAAAAAAACCAAGACAGAGCATGAAATGTCATTTCCTCCAGGAGAAGATTAATCAAATATGTAATTCTTAGCATATAACTTACTTAACATGAATTACAGCAGTAATTCCTACTAAACTATTTTGTTACCTTTGTGCTTCTCCAGCAGCTCAGTGGTGTGCTCTATGACTTCATAGTACTCCTGTAGCTCCAACATACACTGGCAGTAGTTCAGCTCCAGTGGCACAATCATTCGACCCAAATTCATATAGTCTATATCACCTGGCATCTCCTGAAATACAGCCAATATGGGAAAAAATAAAATAAAGAAATGGTCTTGGTAATTATGCTAAGATGTAATAAGAAAATATGTATTTTTTTTAGAATTTTCTTGATGGTTCAAACAATTTAAAAATTAGATTTAGTAACCATAGCTAAAACCATATTTACCAAGGTTTTCTTGCATAAAAACTATGTGGACCCCTGTGAAATGTGTTAATACATTCAAAGTGGCTTTATAATGTGGCACATCAATGAACATTTTGGCATTCAGCTTTAGTCACTAAGAAACTGACTTAGGGGGACTAGAGAATCACACGTTTGGATAACTGCAGATCTGTAGACAAGGTGTCTGTAATCATTATCATCTTTCAGAGACTGATGTTAGAACATCTAAAGGAGATGGCAAGGGCTTCAACACACCATCAACTTTGACAACCTCCACCAGAAGATCACACAGCTTTCACTATCACCCTCTGTTAAGGGTGGAACGGTTCACAAAATCCACGGTTCGGTTCGGTTCACGGTTTCGTGGTCACGGTTTTCGGTTTGGTTTGGTATATGTTGGTTGTTACCCCGAAATCCCATAAAAATGAATGAAATTAATAAAAAAATCCAAAAACATTTTATGAATTATTTTTAATGATTTGCGGAAACCCTGAATCATTTCCGCATGTTTTGCTGCTTTGAATTTAATCATTTCGCTCATGCCCTCTACGATCTCCAAGGAACTCAGAGCGGAGTGGACGGGACCCACAGCGGAGGCTGTATGCTTTGCTTTGTGCAGGTGGTCTGGAGCGGAGCGGAGCGCTGACAGAGTATGTGGGATTTTGGGGTTAGCCTGACATGTTGGTAGTGTTGCTGTTAGTATAAACAAAACGTGTTGCACAATGCTTGCACACTGTTGCACTTTTATCCACAACTTTCTTTCCGCCGTCATTGTAGGTCACTCTAAATGCAAAGTGGTCCCATACAGCAGACCTATAAAGTGCTGCTGGCGCGTCTTCCAACTCCTGGTCTTTCCCACTCACCATACCCACACAATTCTCCACAACAACTGATTTTTTTCTGCTACACCCGGCTACGCTGCTTCGCTTCTTCTTCTTCTTGTTTACTACTGGTGGTTGGCTTTGGTCGCAGTACCGCCACCTTCTGCTCTGGAGTGTAAACGCTTCGCCTATGAGAAAAAGGAGCAGCGCATGAACCGAACGCAACACACGCAAACCGAGACAGTCGAACCGAACGGTTCGCACGGTTTTCATAAACCGTTCCATTCCTACCCTCTATTATCAGTAAATCACCAGGTCCTGGCCTGTAAGCTTGTCCTGCAGAAGAACCAACACTCCCTGCAGGATATGTTCTCTCCCAACATCTATCTCAGTCTTCTGTTTCTTCAGAGAAACAGAAGGATACGTGTTTTTGCCCTCTGTCAAGTTTAAATTTAGTTATTGTGTGCATTTCAAACCACTGACCTTTGCCCTAAACTAAAGTGCTGGAACACCAGTGTTCCATGATGGAATAATTATTTCATCTATAAGGACTTATGTGTGCAGACAAGAAGAAATACCCTTAGTCCAAACCAACACCTTCAACACTGAGAGAAATTAACCTGCAAGAACAATTCAACCTTCTGAGGTAAAGTTCATCATCAGCATTCAGCTAATTGGTCATAATCCGACAAAGCAGATGGAGTCAAGTTTAGGCTTTTAAATCAAAGAACACTGTGCCCTCTGATAAGCCAGGTGGTTGCCATATTTGTCATTTCTAACCATGTGGAATGGACCTGACCTCAGTTATTTTTAAGATATTTGCAGTATGCTCAAAAGAAATGTCTACAATTCATACCTTTGAAAAATTGAACCCTTTTCTGGAATGTATTCACATAAGCTTTAATTTTGAAACCCTTAGCTCTTCTTATTTTTCTACCTTTTGCCAGCTGTCATACCTACTGTCAGCTACTTCAAGGAGACTTGACAGTTTACTCACCCTGGACTGCACTGTTTTTAGCAGCAGGACAGCTTCCTTGTACTTGCTGGCAGCCTCTCTGAAATGTTTTTGCTTGACCAAAGCATTGCCCTGCATGTGAAGAACTGGCACCGCTTGCAACTTCTCATCCTTGTCCATCATCCATGACTCTCTGTGGTAGGACAAGGGGTCTCCTACCTAGAAGCAACAGGGAACAAGGGGAGAGCACAGCAAGATAAACTTCTAAACAAGTAGAAATAGTCCTACAGAAATGGAGGAGAAACAGAGTAAAAGTATGTTTGGTCATGTTTTAGCAATACACAATATAGATTATATATACTGTAAATGTAACTGTAAATATAAGAAAGCGAAATTATTAGATCTACCTCTGAAAAACATTCAAGTCCTTGGGCAAATCACTTCACCCACATTGCCTATTGATGGTGGTCAGAAGGCCTGGTGACGCCTGCGTATGGCAGCCTAGTGTCTGTCAGTGAGCCCCAGGGCAGCTGTGGCTACATGTAGCTTGCTACCATCAGTGCGTGCATGAATGGGTGAATGACTGAATGTTGGGTAAAATGCTTTCGTCAAGCCGTATATAAGTACAGTCCATTTATCATTTCTAAATCAATTAATATGTTGTACAATATGTTTTAATATTGTTTACTTTCTAATATACATTTTCCATTTTTGAGTCAACTGGCCTGAATTATGATCAAAACCACATCAGTTTAATTTCCCTTTTGGATTAGAGATAGAATAAAATATAATTAATGGAAATGGCAACATAATGTGTTTAGATAAATGTGTGCAGACATTTCCTCATTGATCAGATTTGCCGTTTTCTATTGTGAGTTAACAACCTGGTTAAACTAACATTTAACTTCCATCAGAAACAAACCAATACACAATGGTCACTAATGTAGATGCAGATGCTTTTGTTTACAGGGAAAAATAAAAATGGGAAGAAAATGTTAATGTTTGCATCTGCAAAAGGAGTAGAAGTTGAAACTGAGAATATTGCAAATATTTTAGAAAAGATTAAAAAAATGTCCAATATTTACAGCAAAATATTATGATAAAAATAAAATAAAAATACAACAAAAATGAAGAAATTTGCATTTTTAGTTAACTTTCAAAATCACAAATTTCTATTTCATTGTATTTTATTTTCTTCTTGTGCTTTGCACTTAGTTGCTAACTACAATTTGCCCAATGCTTTTTGGTTTAGTGGAATGTACTGAAAATGTTAGAGCACAAAAATAGCAAGGCAACTTCTAAAACATAAAAAAATCGTAAATAAGTGTGTTTCATTTGATTGCAATTATTTCCATTACAAATATTAAATGACCATCACAAGTTTCTTTCTGCAGCACCACCATTCCCACGTATAAAAGCAAATCTATGGTTTGTAGGCCTCTACACAGCTGTCTACGTCAGCCTGGGCTGGTTTTGATCACTTTATGACAGAGGTATCAAACTTTTCATTTTTATTTTAGACCGATAAGGCATGATAGAGTTTTTAAAATGGTAGCTTGCAACTGTATAAACAAAACTTTTGATTTCAGAATTTACCTTACAGAGAGCAAATTCCTCTGGTATTACAATGAGGATATATTAAAGTGATCAACCAGCCTGGGCCTGCGGACCTTGAGTTTTTATCTATTAGAATACTGAACCCTACCTGCAACAGCTCCATGATGAATATGAGTGGTTGAGGATTTCGCATGATCTCATCTAGCTCCGGGAAACCAGTGGAGTGATAGTGGAACAGGTTCCCCATACCGCACATATGTTTCTGGCCATCCAGGGGGTCTTTTCCTTGGGCTATCAGCCTCATTCCCTTGGACACAATGGGATACATGCCTGTGTGCTAAAACAAATAAATACAACTTATTAGCACCTACTTATGTGGACCCCCCTTTTACAAGGAGTCTTTAGTAATCAGTCATTTCTTATGCAAAATAGGCTAGCTCAGCTATAATCTGCAAACATTTTTTTCAGACAAAAGGCACCTACATTATGCAAAAACCTTGTTTGGAAGCCTAGTTCATCTAACGTATAGTAAAAGTTACCCAATTTTTTTTTTTTTTTATTTATTTATTTATTTTTTATCAAGGCTTAGAAAGACCTTCAGGACTCACAATGGCATCACACCAGAATTCAGCCACCTCCCCGACCCTCATTGAAGTCAGCATTGGCTCCCAAACTTCCATCTTGAACATCTTTCCAACAAAGATCTCAGCTGGTCTGCCAGCCAGTCTAGTGTCATCGATGACTGTCCGCTCAAAGTTGTCCAGCAGCGTTTGGAAATGGAAGACCAGCTTGTATGTACAGAGGGGCGAAAAATTTGGAACATGTCAAAGATAGCTCAGTAAATAGTTTTCTAATAGGGCTACTGACATGGAACTCACAATATTCCAGTTAGAACAAAAGTAATTTACACAAATAAGTGTGCAATACAAAAAGCAACATAACCTTTAGGTGTGGATACCTGAAGGGTATACACACCTTCCAGTTTAACTAAAAAGGCAAGAATCTGCACAACATAACTAAACTAATGAGAATTTATTAAAAAGTCAACCAACACTAAATCATTTTGGCTGTTTGAATGGGGATGGGGTCTCTTTGAAGAGGAAAAAAAAAAACAGACCAAAATAAAACGACTTAATAACATAAATCGTTATTAAGCACATATATAAGGTAATGAATGCAATAAAATAGGACCATGCAGAAAAATATGGATTGAGATCTCTTGAAAGGATCTATAATCGATTATGTTTTTTGTTTTTTTTTATATAGTGATTAGAGGAAACTTTTTCTTGGTGCAGTGGGTAGCACTGCTGCCTTGCAGCAAGAAGGTTTCATGTCTTTCTGCATGGAATTTGCATGTTCTCCCTGAGCATTTGTGGGTTCTCGCCGGGTACTCCGGCTTCCTCCAACAGTCTAAAAACATGACTGTAAGGTTAATTGGCTTCTCTAAATTCTCCTTAGGTGTGAGTGTGTGCGTGAATGGTTGTTTGTCCCGTTTGTCTCTGTGTTGCCCTGCAATGGACTGGCGATCTGTCTAGGGTGTACACCGCCTCATGCCCATTGACAGCTGGAGATAGGCACCAGCACCCCTCAGGACCCCGCTTGGGATTAAGCGTGACGGAAAATGGATGGATGGATAATTGGATATTTTACCTTGATTTTCAGTTTATAAGGACTTCAGAAGAAGTTCTTGGCTTGTGTTGAATTGTGTTGTTGAAAACTCTCCTTAAAGGCAGAGGGTGAGGGAAGCTGGTATCCTGCAGCCCAGGAACATGGAGAGATTGTAATATTTTTGTTTTGAAAAGAGATAAATACAAGTACAGAATCAGAGAGCATGGATGGATGGATGTATCAGGTTTACTCTGGGTACAGTGTGAACAGATTTTGGCAGAGTAGCCAGTTTTAAATATTTCCCTTCTAGTAATATCCACTTTATTCTGAATTAATTGAATGTTGCAGTTTTTGGTCATTAGAATCATGTTCTTACAATTTGTACGACAGATCTACAGTTAGTGAAATAGATAAATCTGATGATATTTTATTACTGGGATTGCTATTGGTTAGTCGAATTATGAAATTACTTTGTATATCTCTATTGAATTTATTAGACAAACTGACTGTGATCATTTTTTGAGGGATTTGAGCAGAGATAACTTGATTATAGAGGTTGTTAATTTGGTTTGGAGGCAGGATTTAATATAAAAGTATTATGTAGATGATATATTTGAAATAGATCAATGAAGGGCAGGCTTGAGGTACAGTTATATATGTGCTAGAGTTATACACCTACTAGCCCAGGGGTTATATTGAAAAGCGGCGTTGAGGTTTTCTTTTTTATTATGACAAAAGAGTACTGTTAGCAGTGTTATACAGTTTTCAACCAGGCTTTAAGAACTCCAGAAAATGTTGGCATCTTGAAACTTGGATTACCTGGATCTTCAAAATCTGGTGCAGTTTCTATGCCATTCGGCACTTTATAAATATATTTATAAAAAAAAACACTGACTTGTTAAATACTTATTGATTTGGACGTTAAAAAAAGGTATAGGCAACATAAAATAGGTCAAGTGATAAGGTGAATTCAGATCAAATTTTGTTTATAAACAAAATATGCAATAAATAAATACACATAAAAAAATTACGGTTTAGACTGAAAATATTGTCATAAATCTAAAAAAAATAAAATTTCTTTTTGATGCACGTTTAATGGTATTTAGAATGGAAAACATTCCATTCATTTTGGAGTTATTTCTCCCCATACCTTTCATGTTTCCATGTTTTTATATCTTTAAAATATAAATAAGCCTTTAACATTTAACATTCCTTTGTAGTGAGTGGTTCTGTAGTAACACAGAGAGAGTTCTTTATCAGGTCTTCCATCTGGTTATTATTAAAGACTTCCAAAACCATGATAAGTCTAACTATGAAATTATGTTGGGTCCCAACTCACTAATTATAGCCCAGTACAATAGGAAAAAAACAAAAACAAATTAAAAGCTATTCAAGCAACTGGAAATCACTTAAATGGAATGGAAAGTGTGGAGAGATACATAGACCGGGTGAGTGGAAATTTATGCTGGCATTGTCATGGAACATATTTGTCACGTCTAGGCTCATTGCCATATGGCTGGACATGAAGGGAAGGAGGGGTAAAGTTGGAAACCGGCAGATCAGAGGATGAGCAGGAAGTGGGCCAAAAATACATGTTGCAATTTGGTTGACCAAATGTTTGCTTTGTGCATAAGAGCCAGACAGGGAGTAAATGTTCCCTCCTTATGAATAATGCAAGAGGATCTAATGTTGGTGCACAAAAGCCTTCTAAACATAAACACTTAAAATTGACTGTTTCTCACTGCAACAAAATACATGGATTTGCTTGATATTATTCAGATTTTAACAGATTTTTTTAACAGACCTTTGTCCCAGGAGGAAAATGAGGCAGTGGTCCTTTGCCTCCTGCTAAGATTTTCTTCTTGACCCCTGGATAGTTGAGAAGGTATGTCTCCTCCATTTCCTATTTGAAGAATTACCAGAAAAGTTTGGATGTTGTATTGCACATATAGCCTCTCTTTTCCCCTTCTTCTTGTGTGCTCTCCTTTGGCTTTTCTAATTAGCCCAGTGAAGAGAGTCTTGGCTGGTTTGCTGCTCTCTGACAGATGGCAGGATTAGCCAGGGTTTGGAGATGGCCACTCTAATCTGTGGCTAATCCCTTGCCTACCCTGACGATTGGTGGGGCAATTCTTACAGCAAGGAGTTAGAAAGTCGAGGCTCATGTGGACGAGAAAGGCCTCGATTCCTCTGAGACGACAAAAGACCATTCTGGTAGCAGAGGACTCAGACGAATTTGATGATGACTTAAATGAATGCAAAAGACCAGCCCAGATTATTATAAAAAAAATAGCCCTTGTTATGATTTAAATAATTGTGTGCTTAAAATGGCAGATCATTACAGCGCATGCCACTTTAAAAACTGACTCCATACTTTTAATAATCAAAATAGGCAGAAACCTTATTCACATTTTAAAGCATAAAAATGTTTTCTTTCCATGAAATGACTTCATTGTTGCTCTCTGCAGGACTTTAAAAAAAGCAGCTAAAACTGAGTTTGATTACAACACATTTCCGTTACATCATCTCAGGAGACGTCATGATTAAGAGTACTGCTTTAGGTTAATTTAGGTCACATGTTTTTATAAAGGTGTCTTTTTTGGTTTTAATACATTAATACTACATCACCTTTAGTTAATTCATTACCCTGCTCCTCCAGGTTTTGTTCTAGATCTAATATCCCTCTCACCCAATTTTTCAGACTTACATTACCAAGAAACATGTCACTGTAGTGAGCTACTACAAAGAATTATTAATATACAAAAAACGTTTGAAAAATAAACGCATGCAACAACTAGTCTCGGCTGTTGATCACAGCTTAATTACCTTGGCCCCATTAGACTCAAGGATTTCCTGAACATCTAAATTTATTCTGACTAAAATGTATCACAAAAACAAACACCCTAGCAGTGATGATATCCCCATCTAGTCTCTGTGGAACTGTAGGACACCACTGCCCTCCATACAATTGAAACATACCTTTTTTTTTATAGCTTATTATTGACAGTAGTTATTACTTTCATTAAAACAGTCTTTCTAATTGTCCAGTGTTAAATGAACAGCTGTATAGCATTTATCAACCTCTATACCTCTATATATATATATATATATATATATATATATAGAGGTACCTTCATCCTCTGAGAGGGAGCTGGCTTGGAGCTCGTCTTCCTGGCTTAATGTGTCCTGGATGCGGTCACCTATGGAGCTGATTGAAAGTTACCTGTTGTATCTCTGCTTCTTTTTCTGTCTGCTTCTGTCTCCTTGAACACCAGTCGGCCTCAGCAGATGACCGCTGACAGAGCCTAGTTCTGCATGAGCTTTCTTCCTGTTAAAAGGGGGTTTTCCTCTCCACTGTCGTTACATTTCTTTTCAGATAATGATTCGATGCAATCAGCTGGTTTTCCTTAAATTGAAAACTTTGAATCAGTTTAACTGTATGATCTGGTTCAATTGTCTCTGTGTGCCTCGAGATGACGTGTTGTGAATTGGTGCTATATAAACTGAATTGAATATAGAATATCTTTTTGATTCAGTCATGTTGCCGAGTTTCATTTTGATTTGACTGATTTACTTTATTAGTCATTGTACTTTTAATGTTAAGGTGTAGCATAAATACTTTTGAGTTAACTAATAAGACAGGAAAAAATAGGATATCTCATTCTGGACTTTTTATTTTTTTTTTGCCAAACAAATTATAAGCAGCTATTGGACAAATGAAATTAGCTTCTTCCATTTACCTATTTATTTCTGTGCAGGTAATAATGAATCAACCAGTTATCAGAACTGGCTAAGGTTTCTGTCTATGACCAGCCAGTCAAATATATTTTTTTCCACTGAACTGTGAAAACTTCCTTTTTAGCCAGTTAAGATTATAAACAAATTACTTACCCTCTGACCCACTTAATTTTATAATTAAGCAAAATATCACATGAATTGAATAAATTAAGTTTATCTCACAATACAGAAATTGACAAGAGGACAAAAACGTTCAGCCATATGAATAACAATAGGACTCATAAACATTATATTCCTCAAATTGTTTACATAATGATTTCTAAACTTTTTTTAAACACATATTTGGAAAGATTCTTAAAAACCAGAAACACCCAGAAAATGCCCTAGTGGTCTATCGCTTCCCTTAAATGAATAACTTGTAAATTATTTTACTTTAATTGTACAACATCACAGAGTAAATATTTTAAAAGGTTGATTAGGTTTACCAGCTTAAACAGAACCATCTAGGATGACCAAACTTCTTGTTTCTTAGCTATACCATGTTTTTTTTTCTTCTGATAGATAGGTGTTAAGGACAAGAAAATACCAGCCAGTATAAAGAAATTTATGAAGGACACCTGTGAGGCCTTTTGGTTTTCTTCAGGTTTCATTACATGTTTTATTCATGAGGAGGAATTAAAATCTTTTACCAGCTTGCCTGCTAAACAAAAACAGCAGGTATGAATAATAGAGTAACTCCACGTATTTTTGGTGTGAAACAACTCAATAAAGTGTGACTCTATTAGCACCCTCAGCTATATCCAAACCTGAACCAGTCACTCATTTGATCCATTACTGTGAGTTTCATTGATCCTCAATCCGTATATAAGAAATATTTTGCATTTAAATCTCACCAAAGAGGTTTAGTTTTACTTAAATGGTGTAGTCGTACCAACAAAAATGGAAAACATTCTTCCTATTTGAATCTGAACATGCTCATTAAAATCAAGACATTACATGGTTTTATAACCCTTTTATTCATTACGTAGGAATTTAAAAAGAAAACTCAAGTAACACTTGACCAAGGCTCTTCTTTTATTGTAAAATGAAAAACAAACGCCTCCAAAACAACAGAAATGCCCATCCATAATGCAGTGACTAGTGTAAAAATCCTAAATTATTCATCATTGTTACACTAATCAAAATGCTGCAGATGGGAAACATAAAAACGACAGGTTAAGAATGACAATGCAAGTTGGCTAATAAAAGACCCAATATCATCCTCTTTTCCATTCTCCGATGACATGTGGCTGAAGATGATGTGAGACTGCCCCCTGCTGGTTACTTCTCTATCAGGGAGTCCAACTGCTCCTGAAGGGAGGCCAGCTGTTTGGGGACAAAATAAATGCTTTTATTTTAAGAGCCAACAGTGACCGAATTAAACTGTAGTGAAAGTAGACAATAATTAACACTTAACATAACATTACATTCACTCTTTTTGTCAATGCATAATGACGATCCATGATGGCAGGCAGCTATTATGTCACAGCATCAAAAAGCACTGACAAATTAAATTTTACCTGTGTGGATTTGAGCTACTGTTAGGAATTAAGATTCATCTGCATGGATGGTATTTAGTGCTGAAAGCTGTAAAAAGCTCACAGCATGAACTCATCATGTCTCATTACAAAACAGGTACTTACCTGCTCCATCTCCCGCTCCTCCTGCTGAATGATCTCATCCAGCAAGGCTTGGAAGCGATTCTGTGAGGGGCGAGAGACAAACAAGATTTGTATGAGTCGACATGCTGAGCCTCATTAAGCTGTGATGGCTTTAAATGCGTGTCTGCCCGGGCTGCTCATGTCACTATCTTATCTGTGACAGAAAGGCCACTTGGAATGCCAGTCAGAGACAGCTGACCTTTCCGTGCGACTGTGATAATAACAACTAGTGATGAGCCTGAGACGCTCCCAAAACACTAGGAAATGAGAGCTCTAAATGGCAACATAAAAGAGACCCATGTCTGGTCATGTTCTACGTGTAAAGTTTTCAATAAGGAAAAATGGAAAGGTAATTTTCTTCTTTTGCTGGCTTGTAGTGCAGCTAGAACCAGTAGCAGCCTTCAAGGATACCATAAAATACATGAAAAATATTTTACAGTTAAAAACATAAAACATGTTGGAGCCCAGATGGCTACACCACATCCAAAATACAAGGAAGCAAGCTGACAGCTCAGGGATAAAGTTGTGAAGAGGCTTAACTCAGAGTTAGGCTGCAGTGTTAGAGCAGAGGTGTCAATCTGCAGTCCTCGAGAGCAACTGTCCAGCAACTTTGAGATGCAGCTCTTCTCAAACACTTTTGTAAGCATGGGCTTCAAAATACATATTTGATGGAAATCTAACACTGCTGCACCCTAAACAAAACGTCTATGCAGGGAAAGATTGGTGATGGGCAGCATAATTCAGAGGGAGGCTTTTCTTCTGCAGGGCAAGGATGATAGGATGGGGCTACAAAATAAATCAAATAAACACAGATGTTGCAAAAGACTTCAGATTAGTTTGTGGTTTGCTTTCTGGGGGGCAACGACGCTAAACAAACAGCTGTTCCAATCATATGAGCTGGGATAGCCCAGTCAAAGAAAAGACATTGATCCAATTAAAAATATAGGTTCAGAGGTTCTCTCTTTTCAATTTGAACATTTATTTAGAATTAGTAAAGCTGGGTTGGCCACACCTTTAAACTTGGAGCTTTGCCACAGAGAGACAATGTGACCAGAAAAGTATTAGCATCAGTTTAACCACATTGGAGCACATGAAAAGGAATTTGGCTGTGGTTTTCACTTTGCTCTTATTGAATACAATTTAGGTAGAAATTAAGAAAATGGAAAATATAAATCATTTAGTGAATAAATAAATGATTTTACAAATAAGGAAAATATGGTTGGATGGATGCAATTAGGCTTGGCGCCAATGCCAGCACCCTGGGTGCAACACAATGTTACAAACAGACTGGAATTACTGCAAGAGGGGGGGGGGGGGGGGGGGGGGGGGTGTAAACTTCCTGTTTACCTTCAGTGCCTGGTTTTCCACTTTCATGATGAGCTCCTCCTGCTGCTTCTTCCGGGCCCGTGTTTCCTGAAGCTTGGCCTTAACGTTGTTAATCTGCACCTGGTATTCCATAACTGCAAAAAATTAATGTTGGTTCATGTGTCAGTATAGTTCAAAAGATGTGTTTTGATTTCCTGTGTAGTGAAGCTATATTTTTGTAGGGTCAACCTTGGGGATAAGATATAGACCTCCGTCTGCTTTACCAGAAAATT